CTCTCTCTCTCTCTTACTCTGTATCTTTCGGATGATAGCCGTCGAGATAAGCGAAGGAGCCAGCTCCGACCACGTGCATGAGTTTTTCGTTAATTTGTCGCCGAGAGTCGCTGAGTCTCGGTAATTCCTGTTCCGGTGATTGAAAGTTTTTCCGGGAAAAAAAACGCGCCTAGCCGGAGTGGCCTTGCCGACGACGAGCTGTTTCAGCCGCGCGCAAAGGAGTTACGCTAATCCCCTCGAGTTTTCCTTCCAGAGGCAGCAATCTCGTAAAGTCTTTTTTTTTCTTTCTCGCTCGGGAATCGAAGCAGCGGTTTATTCGGCCGTTCGCGTTCGCTGCAATTATCGCTCTGACCGCCCTTGCCTTGCACAACGGCGCAACAATGGCACGGCGGACGATCTCGGGCTCGGCGGAAAAAGCGCGTCGCTCGTGAAAAACGCTCGATTGAATAAGCGAAGGCCGGTAAAAAGGCAAACGAGGTGCAAGATGTCTCGAAGGAGGTTTCCAAACCGGAAGCCAAAAAGATATCGAACTGACTCGGCACTATTGGCTCATTAAATATAAAGCACCAACGAACTTCCGGCGCCTTTCGCGCAAAAAGACAGGTGAAAAAAAAGAATCCAAGCTGAGAGAGAGAGAGAGAGAGAGAGAGAGAGAGAGAGAGAGAAAGAGAGAGGGAGCTTCCTGTAAACAGGGGGCATAGAGCGCAGGGCAAAAAAAGCTTCGGCTCCGGCCAACTTTTTCCCATCGGCACTTCCGCGCTTTCAGCTGCCGCTGCACAAATCTCGAAACAAAAACCGATCTCGCGCCATCTGCGGCGGCCAATCTCGCCATGGGAATCCGGAGGGCAGGTGTCCCGGGGCAGGCGAGCGTCTTAGAGAAGGGTGGCTGCGCGCCCTGAGAAAACTCACGGCGGGGGAAAAAAATAAAACAAAAAATGCATAAAACGGCAGCCTCGCGCTCGCCTCGGCAGCGCGTGTTTATTTATAGTGCGGCGACGAGGTGTGTACATCCGATTCCTTTGTTATCTCCGATCTCCGATGGAGTATTAATCTGGATTTACATAAATAGACGCGGCGGGCTTTTCTTTTACGGATAAAGGGGCTTTTCTTCTTTTCTTCTCGTCTCCTGCTGAAATGCGGCCCCTCGAGTGGGCCCGTCTTCCTCTCGTTTTTCTTTATTATTTATGACGTTTCACGCTCGCGTGTCGCGCGCGTTCTGCAATGCCGCGCGCACTGCGGCACGACTCCTCCGGAATAAACTGTGATATCACCGCGAAACTCGCGCGATTATCGTGCGATTTGAATATTTGACTCATTGCAAAATCGTTCCCGGAACGACTTCTCCTTTTTTAATTCGCGTAATCGGTTTTTCGGCTTATTGGCGTAGTATATTACAATTTTTATGTGCAGATTTCACGGTGACGCTAATTTTGAATAACGACGAGTTCGCTGAATACACCAAGTCCAAGGCATAATTTTCGACTCGTGTTGTATTGTTTTCCATGCCAACTCAACATATCCTTGTTATGATTATTCTAATAGTTCATTTATTTTTACGATCGGTCTGAAGGTTTCCGCGCTTGCCACGCGAAGGAGGCCTACGATTTTTCTGGAGTAGCTTTACGTAAGCACGCGAGCGAATAAATGAATTGAACACGCCTCATTGGAAATCGGAGTAAACAGTGAATCAGCGAAAATCGAAAGGCAATCGAAGATATCACGAACAAGACGGAGAGGAGAAAAAAGGTTCGTACGGCTTGGAGCGAGAGAAAAGATGGAAAGAACGCAAGGCATTCCACGCGAGCTATCGCCCCGCGTTAAATAACGGAAAGCCGGGAGATCAAAGCCGTTGATCTCTCTTGCGCGGTAAAAGCGCATTTTCCGTCGGCATTCCCTCCCGAGGGAATATATGTTAACCGGACGACGGAAATGGATAGACGTTAGTAGCCTGGGACCATTACAATTTAGCTTAATGACGAGTGGCTTTGAGTAAAAAAAATGACGAAGGCTTGTTCTCGCGCGCGCGCGGGCGCGCGAGAGAGAGAGAGGGAGAGAGAGAGAGACCCGAAGGAGAGCCGGTCAACAAGAGGAAGGTGTTAAAGAGTATAAGCCAACGGAAGAAGGATAAAGAGGAAGGTGTGCGCGGGGAGAAGATGAAGCAGATAAAGAAGTAAGAAGAGGAAAGAAAAAAGTGAGATAAAAAGGCAAGAAGAGGCAGGCGAGAGCGCTGGTAAAAAGGAGGAGGAGGATGAGAAATAAAAAGAAGTGAAAAATAGGAATGCGGCTCTCGTCGTCGTCTGAAAGGAGATTGGACGAGAGAAGGGGCCTAATTCCCCGAGTGCTACCGGCTTACGCAAGGCCCCTCTGTGGCAGATAAAACGTCTCCTCGGCTCCGAAAGCCTGTTTGTATTTGTGGCAGGCAGCACCGAATTCCGGTAGCTACTATGAATTATCTCTCTCCCGAGCCCGACCATTTACATTTCTTCTTCTTCTTCTTCTTCTTCTTCGGTTTTTGTAAGAGTGCATTTCTGCTCGATATTTTTTTCCCCAACTTCGAAAAATTATTATTATTATTTTTTTTTTTTTTTTATAAACGAAGCCTATTATGTAGAAAAGAGGACGAGGCGCTTGGGTAATATTGGATATATATTTTTTTAATTCAGGAAGCTGATTCACAGGGTGTGTTATTACAGAGGGCCGATTCGATGGAATTACGGCAAGTTTTTTTTTTTATTTTTTGCCGACGATGAAATTATTCCTTTTTTTTTAACCGTTGGGAGATTGAGAAATTTTTATTTTGTTCGAATAATGTGGATACGAGGAATTTTTCCTTCCATATTTTAGTTTTGCTATTATTTTTTTCCATTTGATAGAAAGGGTTTTATGTATAATATGCAATTTCGATGTGCCGAATGAGTTAGTTTTAAAAATATCGTTGAGATTTATAATGAAAAACTCTAGCATCGAAATGTTTTTATTTTTATTTAAAATTTCAAGCTACATTGGATAAGAGTACATTTTAATGGCTAAAATTTGTGAATTTTGATTTGTATTTCTAGGTTGGGATTGACGTGAATAAATATCGAAAAAGTAAAAGATTTAAGAAGATTACAATGATTTATATAGTTTTTACACGAATAAAAGTATTTACAATAGAAAAATGAATAAAGTTTATCTCCGTATCGATTTACAAACAATTTACATATTTATTGTTCAGGAATAAATAGGTCACCTCGAGTCAGAACCAGCGTGACAAACAATCTTAAAACGAAAAGAAAAGTATTAAATTACCTTCTTTGTTAAAGGAAAAAAGGGAAAGTATAATCCGAAAATCGCGCAACATTAAAAAGCAATTAGGCTCGTCTGAAATTCGAATCAATCTTTGTCGAGAAGGGAGAGTAAAAATCTGAATACGACGACACCTCCAAAAACCACTGAAAACCACACCCGAGAAGAGAAAAAGGATGAAGAATGAGAAGAAGCCCAAACAAAAACGTAAGCGCGCGCGAGCCGTAAAGAATCAATTTAAAGGCAGCGAGCAGCGGCAGCCGCGTGCGCTGCTGCCTGTAGAGGGTTTGATGCACGCATAGGTCCGTGTGTGCTCGCGAAGCCTCCTCCCCCAACGCGCTGCAGCAGCACATGTGCAGCTTGCACATGTCGCTGGTTGTGCCGAGTTTTGGTTCTCACGCTTCTCTCTTGTTGGTTTCTCCGTGCTGCAGGTGATCGAGCAGGATCCTTACTGGGTGCCCTCGACCGAGGAGGAGTACCTGCACTTCGGCGAGAAGGCCGACAGCGGAAACCGGGCCAAGCGCTACATGGATGCTGTGCGCAGAAGGAAGGGACTTCCGCTCGACTCGCAACTCGTCACTCACGCTGAGAAGCAGAGGACCTTGTCCAAAAAGAAATAATTACCAGATTTCCATCCCTCGGCGACAACAACTGCTTCCGCACTTCCGCTTTTTCTTCTTCTTCCTCGGCCCATTGTCTATTTTTTTTTATTCAGACAGAATCGGAGGAAAATGTCTTCTTCCTCCTTCCTTCTTTTTCTTTCCTTCCTTTCTTCCTTCTTTTTCTTTCCTTCCTTCCTTCCTTCTTCCATTTCCTTGTTTTGTACAGTGTCTTGTTGTCCCCCCCCCCTTCTCGTTACACAATAAGGGACAGATAGAGCAAACTGGTGCTTTTTTTACACGGAAATGCAAGATCATTTGTTGACGTTCTTTGTATTAATTGTTAACATCAAAATAAAATGTACACAATCTTTATTTGTAAGCTTATTTATTTAAGCAGTGCTGTACAAAAAGTTTATATTCATATATGTCAGGTGAGAATGAAATAAGTGTCTACAAGTGACTGCTAATATTAATGGTAAAAATTAACAACTTTTCCAATCGAAAAAGTGATTGTTTTAAAAAAATAGTTATTCACTTAAAGCGGAATCGAATTTTACTTTCAATAAAAGTATTGATTTGTAGTGGTTTTAATAAACATTTCGTAGATTACTTCAATTTAAATTTCTTTATTAAAAAAAAGAGTATTTAAAGTAGATTGTACTGTATCAAAAAATAACCCTATTACACTTCAACCGACCAGCGATATGTATTGTTCAAAAGTGATTTTCCCGGAAGTAAGTATATCTTATACGTCATCGTCACCGAATACAATTTTCTTCCCCTGAAATCCTTTTTTGAGCGCTTCCTGCTGCTTCTTTTTGGCTTCCCATGACGGATGCAAAATTTCATTGCTGGTACTTTCAATGCCGCCCTTTGACTGCTTCCTGAATGGCTTTGATTTGTCCCTCTGCTTGTCATTCAATTTGCTGAAGTTCGCGTTCCTTCCGGGCTTTTCTTTGTCGTACGTCTTGCCATTTCTCTTTGGGCCGTCCCACCGTGTGTTTGCTTTTTCAGAGTTGCCATTCTTGAACTTTGGTAATTTGTTGAAATACTTGTCCTGTCGCGATAATTTCTGTTTGTTGAGTCTACTTCCATAACTACCATCCTCATCCTCATCGTAATCATTCCGTTGATTATCTGATTTAGTTTTTATTAGAGCTACGCTGAAATAATTTGATCGACCGTCACCGGTGACAAAGAAGGGATCTTCTTCTTTTTCTACCTGTATACTCGGTTCAGCCGCCTCTTTATCGATTTCTTCTTTATCTACACTGCATTTGTCCTCTTTCAAAATTTCCGTAAACTTCTTGACAACTGCTTGCTTACTTATTACTTTGGTAATGTCAGTCTTTTTCTTCTTTTTCGTTTTTTTGGGACTTGGAATATCTTGTTTTGTTTCACTAGCTTCCTTTTTGCGCTTTTGCGCTTTTTCTGATTTGCTAATTTGTAAAGTTCCTGTTATATCAGACCCTTCTACAACTTTCTCAATAGTTTTAGCTTTCTTTCCAACGTTATTTGTAGATACATTTTCAGTTTTCTCTTTTTCAAGGTTTTTTACAACATTTTTATTATTTTTAACTATCTTTTTAATATCAGTTATAAATATTTTTTTATCGAAATTCTTCTCTTTTTTACTGTCTTTGATTTCGTTTTGTAATTGTTCTGTTTTATTTAAAACAGATTCACTACTTGATTCAGCATCGCTTTCTTTACTTTCGCTAATTTCCTCTTCACTAAAATCTTCTGATTCTTCATTTTCTGACAATTGGTCAAAACTTTCTAGATTAGCTTCCTTCTTTTTCAACTTTTTCTTCTCTTTCCATTCTATTATTGCTTTTTTCTTCCTGCCTGGTTCTAAAAATTGTATGTAATTAGGGTATTTCTTTTTTAAGTCATCAATTTTCTGACTGAATGTCTTGTGATTTGCTATTCTTGCCATTATTCGTGTCAACAATTGCGACTGCCTGTCATTTAACACTTGTTTCAAGTTTAAAGGATGCGTTAAAACATATTTTGTTATTTCATCATTTTTTACATTTTTAATTGCCAAAATTTCAGCAGCTCTTCTGCCTGCTTTTCGTAATCTCTTGTTCTTTTGACTTTCAGGACCTTTGTAATTTCTTAATTTCATGATTTCCCTTGTGTGCTTCTTGATGACATGAACTTTAGCTTGTTCTACACTTTTTCGAAGGAGTACAATCTGAAACAATATATACTTTTATTGCATTGAGCTAGTGCCACAAGTAAAAATAAACAAGTGTATAAGCATGTTTATTAATCATTGACTGATTGGTAAATACAGTCCAAGATACAAAGTTAGTCATTTTAATTTAAGAATCATACTTTGATATAGATATTGAAAAAGACAAGTACTGTAAGTACTTTTTTTGAATATTAAATTATCTGTAATGTAACCTCAAATACATAGAATCGAACAAAATCAATGTTAATAAATATCGATGAATGAAATGGCACATGCAAAACATACCTCCTTATTAATTTCAATTTTACTCATTATTGAACCGATACTATAGACTCTGAGAAATAACTAATCAAAATGTATACTTTGTAATTACTGCAGGATCGAGAATGCTGATGCTTTTTCGACACTTGCAGACAACGCGATATAACACGTGTCTTTGCTCGTGCGCAGTTTTCGTACTGCGCAGTGCAGCAAGCAGAACTACCAAAACAATTTAATTTTCGAAGTGTAAAAAAACACGTCGTAGGTGAAAAAATGATTGGCTATATAATTAAACGTCACTAAGTGCACACAACGAGGTGCAACATGATTTGAAACAAGGTATTGGATCAAGTACGAAGTAATAAACTGATAGAGATAAGTCAGGTGATATTGGTAGTTGGTAGTTCCGATTAAAAAAGTCATTGTCACTGCACGTAGGTGGCAGATCATTCGGTAGCTGCCCAGCTGAGAGAAAAAGAGTGAGCAGGAGAATCGAGTAGGAGGTAGTTGGTCGCGCAATAGGGGTCCGACCCACACTCCAAACACACAAGCTCATTTATTATTATTTGTAGATATTTTTATAAGTACATTGTTGCTCTTTGTTCGCTCGAGCGCGCGTGCCACACGTATGTTTACGTGTCCGAGCCAAGTGGAGCATCGTCGTCGTGCAGGTAATACAGTGAGTGAAATGCGTGTTTTTTTGGAAACTCACTCGCGATATTTGTTTCCAACCATTTTGATGTGTCAGTTATTCACAAAGTTTTTCTATTCTTTATAAAATTTTGAAAAATTCCAAACAGTGCTTTTCTAAAATTTACTGTTAAGTGTTCGTTTAATACGAGGAAGAAGTGTTGTTCCACAGCAGATAAAAAAATTAAAACACGTAAAGCGCGGGTCAGCAGTCAATAGGAGGGAATCGCCATTGTGGCGCACTTTTATCATAAACACGGATATATAAACAATACACGGAAGATGCATGCTTGAATTGCGCCGCGATTATCCATTTAAAAATACTCTTACGCTTGCGCTCAATCAACCAGCTCTCAAGTAAAGATGTTTTTTTCGTGCTCGCGGATTAATTCTTCGCGCCTAACCTCGCGCGAAAATTATATTGCTTATTCGCGATACGTTTGCCAATTTACGACGACAGACGAAATTGAATATTTCTCTGTGTTTTTGCTGCACGAATTACATTTTCGATAAAACATCGCGCGTAAATGCATCGTTGCGAAATTTAACCGTTGACGAGCGCGCGTGTGTGTGTGCCTGCGTATGCATCTGTATTTATGTATGCGCTCAATAAATGTAAATTGCTGCTTGACCTTGGAAATATTGTATACGTTTCGTTTGCAGAGCCAAATTTTGAGAGAGCTACTAGAACTTTACACCTTTTTTTACCAATTCTCTTCTGTAAATATTTGAGTTAGCTGCACATCAACCTAGAATGAGCTCCGTACGCTGTTGTTTAATCGGCGTCAGCCGATTAGCGTCCTCTAATCATGTGTCTAATCATGGTAAGTAACAGATGGCTATTAAATTATTAATAACAAATTGAATATATCAACTTTTATCTAATAATACATCCAACTTGTTTTCCTTATTCACGGTCTATACATTTTTATTTTTAACTGTTGAGAAATATAACAGTAAATAACTTTTTAAAAAAACCAAGTGATGTATATCATTGTAGTGCATAAAATAATCAGAGTAGTGGCTTCTCGGACCCTAACAACTACTGGAATTTTGGCAAAAGCTCCAACAGAGCCAATACCACCTTCCCATGATGGATCTGGAGTCAACACCACTGCAGGTGGGACAACAAGTGGTGGTGGAGATAAGAAAAATAATCTTATTTGTCCAAAGTGTGGTGATCCATGTACGCATGTTGAAACATTCGTCTGTAAGTCAATGAACTATATTTTTGTGACATTCAAAGGTAGCTCATTTACATAACACAATGTGTCTGGTGAATAATTAGCTTCAACCAGGTTCGTGAAATGTGAAAAATGTCATCACTTCTTTGTTGTCCTATCTGAGATTGATTCCAAAAGAAGTCTCAAGGAAGCACTAAGACCGGAAGATCCTAAGCAAGGATTCTACCGGAAACCACCTCCTCCTCCTAAAAAAGTATGTTTTTATGACATAATTTATGATCTAGTAAATCCATTATGTATATCTACATCTTTCTATTTTTTAGATTTATGAGTATTTGAATAAGCACGTAGTTGGACAAGAATATGCAAAGAAAGTCCTTAGTGTTGCTGTATACAATCACTATAAGAGAATCTACAACAACCTTCCACTTCAAAATCCTGTGCAAAACAATGCAACTCCAGCTGCAAATCAAGAGCTCAATCACCCATTTACTCACAGAGGTCTCAAACCACGTAAATAAGAATTGAGTCACTACACAGTGCTATTCCATGTTTTGTTTCTTTTTCTTTATGCATTTTCTAAATTTTCACTTGTAAATTACCAGAAGCTAATACAAAAGCACAGCTATATCCTTTATTCTCTTTCAGATCTTTTACATATTTCAAGTATTGGCAATTCCCTGGGTGTAGGCTTTCAACATGTTCCTCCAGCGAATGAACAGCAACAGCAACAAAAACCACCAGCAAACTCGCAATCGGTGCCGGGCTCGGATATTCTGGATAGTAAACATCATCAATTGAAATTAGAAAAGAGTAATATCCTTCTGTTGGGACCCACTGGCTCAGGAAAAACGCTGTTAGCTCAAACCATAGCTCAATGTCTCGACGTCCCGTTCGCCATCTGTGATTGTACCACACTCACGCAAGCCGGTTACGTTGGCGAGGACATCGAGAGTGTGATAGCAAAGCTACTTCAAGATGCCAATTACGTCGTCGACAGAGCGCAAATGGGAATTGTATTCCTCGACGAGGTCGACAAAATCGGAGCTGTACCGGGAATTCACCAGCTTCGAGACGTCGGTGGTGAAGGTGTACAACAGGGAATGTTGAAAATGCTTGAAGGCACTATAGTCAACGTACCCGAGAGAAATAGCTCGAGGAAGTTGCGAGGTGATACTCTGCAAGTGGACACAACAAATATCTTATTCGTGGCATCGGGCGCATACAACGGTTTAGACCGATTAGTGTCGAGGAGAAAAAACGAAAAGTATCTCGGTTTCGGTGCTACCCCCGCTTCTGAAAGTCCAGGTCGAAGAGCTGCCAGTCTCGCTGATGTTGCAAACATGTCACCTTCGGCAGAAGACGACAATAAAGAGAAAGACAGGCTACTACGGCAAGTTGAAGCGAGAGATCTTATAGATTTTGGTATGATTCCTGAGTTCGTCGGTAGATTCCCCGTACTCGTACCCTTCCATACTCTTGACAAGGAGATGCTCGTGAGGATTCTTACTGAGCCTAAAAATGCCATGGTTCCCCAGTATCAAATGCTGTTCTCCATGGACAAAGTGAGTTTTGCATAATATGTGTTATTCTCTTTGTTTGTTAAATGAAAATCAATGTACAAAGTGTTCGAATGTGTCGTGCTTTGTGTTAAATTTAAAATTCTAATCGTTCATTTTTATTCCTCGTAAAAAAACTTATTATTCGCACTATTTTATCGCGCATACGAATAATCGCTGTTACGTCATTATTATAATTTCATATTATCAGTAAGAATGCGATAAAACTATTTCTAATTTTTAAAATGAATGACAATTATTTTATTAAAAAAACTTGAGATAAGCACAAGTTTATATTCTATAAATCGCTTATAATAATCAAACCACCTTGACCACTATCCATTACCGTTTGATTAAAAATTCTTCAATTATACATAATCTATCAAATGTCGCGCAATGTTTATGCGAGAAAAAAGTTACAGATAATACAACAAATGACATGCGGAAATATTACAATCACATATGTAGGGAAGAGAGTACTCGTTAAGTTGAATACGATAATAATTTTTATAAATCAAATTCAAATACACGAGATGTGATTAAATGATCTCTAAAACATTCCAATTTGAATAGTTAATAACATATTTCGACTAGAAACAGCTATTTATAGTATTTATAAAACTTGTTGGGCTAATTTCAAAAAACGATTTTTTGTAGGTCGAGCTTACATTTACACCAGACGCATTAAACGCCATAGCATCGTTGGCAATGGAGCGAAAAACTGGGGCGCGAGGTTTGCGAGCGATAATGGAATCTCTGTTACTGGATCCAATGTTCGACGTGCCAGGTAGCGATGTAATAACGGTTCACGTGACCGAAGGCTGTGTTCGTGGTGTGGATAAACCGGAGTACGTGCGTCGAGAAACTACCTCCTCCACGGAAGAAGAGCTTCAGCAAGCGCAACAAGTAAACAATTAACAAAAAATTAAGCGCAGGGAAACGCCTGCTCGCTGCTGATCGCATCGACTTCTAATTCTTATTTTTCCTTGGCAATATTTCATTGACTCACCTGAGAGAATGCATGACTGTGTGTCGTCTACGCGTGTATCTGTGTATGGTGCTCGAGCTTTTCTTCGTTTTCTTCTTCTTCTTTTCGGAAACGAAATAGTATATACAATTGGAATGTTACGAATACATAAATTGTATTCCGAAGTTCCCTATCAATTTCGAAAAATTGAAAGTAGACCGAATTGTATCATTACGATATAAAAAAGAATATATTTGATCAATGTTGTTTTATGAGTATATACAGAGATTCATCGTAATCTGACTTAACATTACAAATGGAGAGTATAAATTATTTTTATGCGACTCTCCCTCATAGATAGATGAAGATTATTTGTAATATATTGTATATAGTGATAGATAAGTATATAACGAATTAACGGCAACGTTACATTCAAAAATACTTGGAAAAAATAAGTAAAATTAAAAAGTTCATGCTAATGCTGATTTCGCGAAGGCACGATGCATATAAAAGTTACAAAGATACTATGCGAGTATACTATATATGCATAATGATCCAAAATTCAATTCTGTAGTAAATTCACATTCAGCATTTTTTTTAACATTTACATATGGTTCGAAAATATACGTTTGGCTTTCAAATCCTGTTTTTAAGATTGAAAATCTTTTAAAATACAATAGCTGATTTACATTGTATAAATAAATACTTATATTTATAATAAATGTTTAAAAAAATTTATTTATGTTTTTGTCCTTTAATTTTTTGTTGAAAAATATCAACAACTTAGTTCACTCTTGAACTTGTGGATAAATATGTAAATCTTATTTTTGCGTCAAATAAGTTATTATAAACGATTATTAAAAATTAAAAACAAATTGTTTGTTTTAGTATTACATTATTTATTCTTTGTTATTAAGTTTATTAATCAATATCATTAATAAACTTTACAAAGATCGGTAATCCTCACACATTATAAATATCGTTAAGACAATTTTCGACTAGCAACTTGGATATCAATAAAATTGATTTCTATTTACATAAATGTCATCACCAGCCAAGAATTTTTTTTTTCATAAATATTTACAGATTTTTAAGATAAGAAAGAATACATTCTCTGAAACACTCTCATAAAAACGACATCGTTTCTTAACAATATTCTTCTGTAAGATAAAAAAAAATCGTAAAGCTTTTACACTATTTGTAGTATAAATCATTTAACAAAAATTCCATTAGTTCAAGTCAAAAAAATCTTATTTAAATTTCATTATAGTAAGAACTTGGCGGAGGCTTTATTGGCTTTGGGTTCGGTTTTAACATTGTTGCTTCTACAATCTCTGTAAGAACCCACTTTGTTGTCTTCAGAACCATAATATGAATAGCAAACTGCATCATAAGAGCTCCAAAACCTTTGTACAGACCAAGAATACCTTCTGTTTCAATAATGGTATGGTAACAATCAACAGCGCCACTATAATCTGTCAATAAAGCTGTCACACTTCTTCCTGTATCCAAATTATCTATTATAGTACGAGTGCCTTGAAGATGTAACCTTTGAATGATAGTTTCAAAAGGATAAAATAGGATATCAGCTGCACACATAGAAATCAATATTGATTGCAACTCAATGTCTTGCACTGCAGATTCTGACAAAAAGTCTCTACTATACGCTCCCTGGAACAAATTGTAAAAATGATTGTTACATCTATTAATGAAAGTATGACAAAATTTAAAAAATGTAAAAAATTTACCCTTGATTCTTGAGTATACTTATGTCTAGTCCTCATAACATGACTCGCAATAGTTTTTACAGAAATAGTAAAAAGGTATTTAACAACACCACAGGCAATTGTTGGTGGCAGCAATGCATAAATTGGAATAAGTCGTCCTTTAGTTCCTACTTCAAGTAATCTAATTACTCCATCTCTGAATACATCCAAAACACCAGGTCTTTCAGAGGCTACCTCTGACTGTACAGTTTCAACCAGCGATGCAGAGTAAAATGGTGTAACTATTCCGATAGAAACACATTTCAAAAGGATATGCTGGCCAAGCTGCTTGAATGATAAATGAGTTATCTCTCTGTAAAAACCAAAAATAACAATAACAATTCAAGTTCCACATTGTTTGTGAAATGAATTATTCATCTACATAAAGGTATACTTACTTTGGCCATGGTGTAATTTTTGAAATCAAATCTTCCACAGCCAATGTCAAACCTCTAACTAGTAAAACAGACCCGATGCCTTTCCATAGTGTAGTCAAACCTTGCGTCTGATGCAGACGTATCATGATAGGTATAAGAGTAAAGGGTACAACATGGTACTTTTTAGAAATAGGTTTGACTTGGCATTGCCTCCTCAGTACAATGAATGGATGTATCAAAAGATTCTCTGTAATTAAACTGGCAAGTCCGCATCCACGTCCTATATATTGTTTGACCACCTGATCTGTAAAAAAAGCAGCACAACCTTGACAGTGAGCACGAAGTACAATAAAAAAAATAGGCGGACGATTGCACAGTGTCTTTACCGTTGTCGTTAGTTGGACTGTCGTCAACGAGGGGATGAATATTTGGTATGTCGAGTGGTCTTATAACCTCGCGGCCGCGGTAAACTGTTGGGTAGCCACCCACTGCTGCACCTTCCCACGACATTCCTCGGGAATAGTCAGGGTAATTTATGTCGCTCATTCCTCGTTTTCGCTGCCCGCGTTCTTTCTTTGTATGTAAGTTAATTGATTACTAGCTTATTAACGATCTCTTGTTGATTTAATCACATGTTGGCTTTTTCGCGCAACTGCATACCTATCCTAAAAAGAAATCGAACGCGATGTCAGTCTTGTCGCGTGAGCGCGCGATTCTTATGATGCAACAAAATTTTCGGCTTACCTTGACAGATCAATGTATTTCTTGATCAAGGTCATTGATGCGGCATTTTAGTGAAAAATTTTTGCAGCGGTGGTTACTCATTTATACCAATATACATTTTGCATGACCGTTTGTATTGATAAAGATAGTGAGGTTTTGAGGGGAATTAGAACTAATATATCTTCTGCTAGACGGAATGAAATTCGGACCGAGTGGTGCGACTATACCTAGGAATTTGTTACTAGTCTGGTGATTTTGCGATTTGATTGCTTTATACATACTGCGTTTTTCATCTATTCGACTAATTCGTTCTTATGTATAGTGTTAATGCAATTGTTACTGCGTAAATTGTTAAATTTGATTACAACTGACACTATTGTAGTCAATAAAAACTTTGAAGAAAATTAAGAAAAACGACAAAACAACTTTTCGTCGCTATTGTACACAGCGTTAATTATATATTTTTTTATTAATACAGTACGTAGGTGCAATAGTAAATTTTAATAAAAATGGGAAAAGAAGCTGCGCCGTTACAATTATTGAATCTTCCAGATATTGTTTTGGATAAAATATTGTTTTATTTACCGTACGATGAGATTTCTAAAAACAGATTGGTAAGATTTTTCTGGTTCATACATTTTTATATTAGTGCAACTTACCTTGGAATTATTTTTCGGCGTGTTTTAGGTATGTAAAGCATTCGACAACGCATGTAAAGTGCAACTGAATCGAGGGCTAAAATTGATGGAAAAGTGTTGTATCGAGCAACTGAATACAGTGAAAAATCAGTTGCCCCGTCGGGAATCGGAAAAAATAAATCACCCATTGAAGCCTCATTACAACATATTAGTTCACATGAAAGCTAAGATTTCCGTCTTGTCCCACACGTACAAAGACTACATGGATTTAAATTTAGGCTGTTTCATTCCTGGAAAAGTAAGTTAAGCGAACCTTAAACATATTTTGTTCAATTAATAAAATAATTATTATAATTACAGGTGATCGATGAAGCTTTTAGAGTATTGCGTTGCCTCAAAGCTGTCAAAATAATACCTTACTACAATGAAATACTTCAAGAATTTCTGGACATAAGTAGTATGGCAATAGAACATTTCAGGGAAGAAATAACTCGAGATATCGAGCAATGTCTCCATCAAGCCGATTCCTTCGAAAGCTTAGAACTATCTAACGATGATTCCTCATCGAACTCACGAATAATCTTGTCTCTACCAGCTAATTTTAATCCGCAGCAGCTGAATCGGACCTTTAAAAAAATCAACAATCGCTTGAGGGCAAACCAAAAGAACGCAATCTTGATGAAAGAACAATTCAGCGAAGTCAGGTGGAAGATGAAAAGGCAGTCTTTCAAAATGAAACGTCAGCGTTTGAAAATGCAAGAATACGTTGAAAAAATTAACAATTTTGATAAAAATATGCAAGGGTACATCAATAACATTCAAAATCAGGATTTGATGCTGCAGGAGCACGCGAAAAAAATGAAAAGCCAAAATTTGAAGCTACAACGTTGCGCAAAAAGAATTCAAGACCAAGACGTTCAAATAGCTGACATCACTAAGCACATCGATTGCTTGAGTCAAAAATTGAGAAATTTGAGCAGTCTAGAGTGTCGCGATACTACTGAAGTGCCAAAATTAAGAGACACCCAACGTCTCGCATGCTAACAGCGAAGCCAACAATGTTAGTATTATTTTTTTTTAAAGTGGTAATTACTTATATGAAACCTGTCACGTGTGGTCACACGTAAAAAGTAGTCTGACAGACTTCTGGCAACAGTCTTTTTTCACCGGTTGTTACAGTGTCACGCACGCACACATTTTCATTCTCATTACATTCGAAACAATTTTTCAAGCATTCTTACTGACATATTTTGATATGTAGTTCCTTTCTCCAATTTGCGTGCTATTATTAAATCTATAAGACACAACGCTTGATTTTGTTTTTCGTTGACGATTATAATATAGTGAATCTATGATAAGGCTCTTCTGGTTCAATTTAAAAAATATATGAATTTTGTGTCTGAAATTGATATTTAACAGTGTTAAATTAAATTATTCAAAACAAAATGTTAACAATCCCATTGCAAAAATGTCTTTGTTTCCGTATAGTGCACTCAATCTTAATCTATTTTGTTCTAAGTAACAACATTTTTTTGCTTGGGACATACAAAACAAATATTTACTCTTTAATTCATCACGACTTAAAAATAAAATCATACTAATGAACGAATTGATAATTCGTACCATGCACCATATTTTTTTAAATTTCATTCAAATTTAATAATTAATAAATAATTTGTGCCAGTCTCTATTAAATAAATAATTGTCTGAGAAAAACAAGCCAAACTTTTCAAAATTACAAATAAGTTGATAATGAATAATATTTGACATTTTGGCCAAGGCCAGACTTTCGCTAGACTTTTCTGTCTGACTTTTTTAACACGAAGTGACTGCTTTATGATTGCTGAACCACATGTTCAACCATATAGGTTCTTTGAGTCACAGCCTATCGTCTAGCCGAGACTGGAGGATGTTAGCGTAAAAGTTTATGTGAAATATTGGTAAGATATGCTTGATGGTTAGTATATTACTTGTATGCAGGTACACTTGGAGACTGGCTTCTCATCCCTATTAGTCTCTGACTAATAGATTAGGATGAAAAGAGTCGCATGTACTGATGGTTGTATGGAATGGAAGTAAAGGAGTAGAGCGACGCTCGCGGAAATGTTTTATACCCATCAATTGTGCAAGTACGTAGGTGATAAGGAATACTTGTCAAACGGATAGAAGTATCAGGAATTTTGCAGGCGATTGAGTGCAGTTTTAACGCGAGATATTGAAAGGGTGGCATTACAATCTGCTGCGCCGCAGCGCCTTACGAAAGTTGCAAATGAATGTAGGTCGGTGGAGAAGCTACACTTGACAAATCTCTTCTACAAATCTGCTAATTTTTCTTTTTCACAATATCAAATTACTTTAAAAAATAAATGCATTGATTTGACGATCGTTATATCTTTTTATCGTATGTATAGCTTCAATTACAATATATAGTATTATACAAAATTAACGAAATGCAAAACCTTATCAGTACGATAAGTTGGACATGATTTACAGTAACTAATCTTACGTAAAATCTACATAACATTCTGATTTAAGTGGTTTCACCCAATTTTGCTTTACAACAGAATCGAACCAAAATATTTGCATAGATAATATTTTTCACGAGCTTTCATATTCTATAAAATTAAATATGTTTTCGACCTAAATAAAGCGAGATAAATTGTCAAAGTTAAATCGTTATACATCGGCAAGGATTGCGCGTTCATTTTGCTTCTAATAATTTTAATAACGAATGATGGATTCTTTCCAAAAGCCATAATATTGTCCTATACTATTATTCAATTGATATATGAAGAGAAAAGTACTGGTCATCGAACTAATATAAACGATATTGAAGAAAAACATGAGGAGTTGTGATATCTTAGAGACAAAATCGTGAAAATAATGACGTTAAAAAAATTTGTTTCGTTATTTTCCACTGTTAAAAAGCGAATCAGTTCATTTTTGAACGAGAAATCAAATATAAAATTATCTTTAATAAACGTTCTGGTTGGAAAGATGTAAATTTCCCTCAACGGAGCCCTGACGTGATACCAACCGTCCCAGTGGAGCCAAAGAATATTAATATAAATTTCTTCTAGTAGTAAGATCGTCCGTGAAAATCGAGAGGCTGATAGTTGGAGATCAGATGTGGCTGATATTTCGATATCAGTGCTGGTTGATATTTGGAAATCAGGGTCGGCTGATATTTAGAGATGAAAGCTGGCTGATGAGCATGTTCGCGCTGGACGATAGCGTTGAAACCGATGTGCTTGTCGGCGGTGTATTTGACGGTGCGCCTGCTACCGTCGGGTTCGATGAGAGAGTAGCTGCCCTCGACGCGGTCGCCGTCGCGAACTTCGTGCTGCGATTTTATGTCACCGGTGTGCCGGTCGTGTACGTCGTAGGAAAACTGGTAGCGAGGATGAGAATCGTAGTGGTAATCGTCTTTCTCGTGATCGCCGATATCGTGGAGTTCCAAAGATGCTTGTTTCGCGTAGTAAGACAATGGTGTTTGTGGAGATAATATCAGTGGTTGACTGATAGCGCTGGCACTGACGACCACCAGAGCGGACAGAAGGACCACCTATAGAACGACATAGGCGGTTTGTTAATGTTACTCGAGAGACAATCAACTGAATAAGTATTTCTGAGTGACCGAAAATTTTTGGAAACTTGTTATTAAGAATTTTCAATAAAGGAAGATAATAAGAGATTTGATCTTTCACTATTATCAGAATTAATATTTTTATACATCGTTCAATCATTGCTTGTACCGTTTAACCGTTTAGCTACATTTCTATAGGTCAGTGAAAAACGTGTTTAAGTAAAATGAAAACTATGACGGTGAAAACAAGGAAAACTCACTTTGAAAGCCATGCTTGCTGTTGGAGCTGCTTTAGGACTGATGAACTGTTGAACTGTTTGCAAGCAGTGCGCGACTGATGCAGTTCCGAACAAAACTTAGACTTTATATACCGACGCCCATTCGTGCATACACACCCGAAATTATTTCGTAAGTGGACCAAGTGCGCGTTGCAACCCGAAATGAAAAAAAAGCGGGAGCGTACACGAGAAAAAGGAAACGATCGATCGACCGGACAGAATAACAGATCCTCGTCAAATGCAACATATGTGCACGACTGATATATTTATATATAATCGCTATGCTATTTGCTTTGCATTGCGCATGAAAATATTAGGGGTCGATCGGGATAATAATCGATCGCGCGTCCGAGATCAATGCGTTCGTGAAAATCGCGACATCCATCGCGACCGTTTGTACAACAATCGATTGAAGCGGTGCTCGTATCGCCTTTAAGGACTTTTACCTGCGAGGCTTCTCAATAAGGCGAAGTGAAACTGTACCTTTTTTTGCAAAGAAAAAAACAAACAAATAAACAAAGACTACGTTACGTGCACATTGCTACATTTTTAACTTGCATTTCGTCATTCTCGAATATTTGTCAAGGACGTGCATACGAATTAAAGATCGAATGCAATCTCGAAAATTGATTGTAGTGAACAAATATTCGTCTATATTTTGCAGAAAAAATGATCTTATGAATTGAAAAAATGATCTTATAAATTTCATATTTTTAATATTATTTTTTAAATATATTAGCCAATCCGGTTTATTCATTGATTGAATTGGTTATAAACGTATTTGACGTACTGTATAATATTGATGAATCAATCGAATTCGAGCAAAATTTGTCCAATAAAAAGAAGTAACAGAAGTAAATTGCCACTTTTCGTTGGCTAGGATTTGCCGGTCCTTTCAAATACAATGAGTACGAAATCTGATAAACATACAAGTTATTTTACTTTTCGTGACAAGTATTTTAACTATTTTTCAATAAACAGCTTGAAAATATAAAAAAGTCTGAGCTGACGATATGTTGCTTGTCCGACAAGAAAACGGAAAATTCGTATCAGATCAATTCATTTAGTCATAGTTTACAATCGTGAGGACGTTTATCTATATATATAAAAAAACTGCATCTATCTTGTCTTTCTCAAGATTTTATATCTGAAACATGCAACATACGTCGGTCGTATGATCCGGATAAGAGTAACTTCGAGAATAGTTTCCGAAACGTTCACAACAAAAATAAAGCATTAATTAACATAATTATTTTTGCATCCCAAGTTGATTACAATGAATGATAGACAACTGAGATTATCGTTACGATCTGACACTGATTAATTATACCATTCTTTAACTATTATCAACACCTAGATTGCGTGGTGAAATTCCGTAATCATTAATATCTATTATTCCTTCGAGCTTCTAAAATGAGGAAAGCAAATATTGTGATTATCTAAAAAAAAGGATCTGATAATGAAAAAATCTTCTTAGCGTTCATTCTTTTTCATATATTATCCCCATTGATAACCGCAACAACCCGTCAATTTGACTTACAATTATGCTCATTTCGATGTATACGATCAAAACGCATAAGTTATCAGGCATTTGTTGACGAAAAAGCCATTTGGGAAAAATGCAAAAAATCATACGCTTAAACATTAATTACATAATTCACATTTTCTTGAACACAATCGAAACAAAATGTTGTTATTTATTGATTTTTCAAAGCTTTTAATCTAGGTCTGTTGTAGGTCCTTCAGTTATAAATACGGCAAAATAACCGTCTCTCCCGGGTTATAAATTGCTTAAATAAATTTACAACAAATGTAGATTCGCTTTTGCCACTATGATGTTTGTCTGCAGTCACAAAGAAGCCATACAGTTTGTTTGCGTCTTGTTCTGTCAATAATGACGATGCTTCATAAAAATTGATTTAAAAAATTTAATGAAAATTAACCGTCTTACATTGAAATGTGACACCAAGCTGCGCTCGTACCTGAGCGATAGATACAATAATAATTTATTTAGCCACGTCTTCGAAAACATTTTTTGTTTTGAATTGTGAAAAAAATAATTTGACTTGATTTAATGACTGAAAATTTATACTTTCAATATTGAAAAATTATTTTAAGACAAATCAAGTGCTCAAACGTCAGCAAAAATTATCATTTACGTGTCTTAACATTTTTTGATAAAAGTATTATCAGTACTTTTGTAATTCAATTCAATTTTAAGTAAAAACTCCGGAAAAAAAGAAGATGGACTTCGAATTTTGACTAGATAAAGGATGACGATAGAGCAATAAACCCTGCCACAGCGTGATTCCCGTCGGCGTTTCAACATTCTCGTTGCAGTAATCATCAAACGATCATAGTAAGGCGCGTCGCAACGAGTTATTTCATTTTTATAAGTGACATTAACTTTCTCCCACCAAAACAAAGATTATACGGTATTACGTTACTTCTGCCATGTAACGTCAACTTCTAAGAATTTAATCTAAAGTTTGCAGATAAAATACAATTTCAATTGAAAAAGCCAACGTAACAATTTCTTGCAATTACTCGCAAAGCTATGCTTTGATAAAGTTGGTAACAAAACCTGTCTATTCTACAAACATATGCGTTTTGAAATTAATTTTACCCCCCATTGAAATCAATTGAATCTTTTCAGACGAACGTACGTAAAAAAAGTCAGGTCGAATATCCGAGCCTATCCTTCTTATTGCAGACTGTAACAAATAAGCTCTGATACGATTTTTCATTGAAGTCGTTTTTACTGGTGGCACGAAAAATCTTTAAGTATACTAGAGTAACGTTCGTCTATCATTTCTTTAACTAAATCTAGCAACGATAATTTCCATTTCTGAATAGTATTTTTTTTCCCGGTATATAAGCTAACAATAGACTTCAAGATCGCGCCATTCAAGATTCAGATGTCGGAATTGTTCGTGCCGTTCACAAAAAAAATTGACTTTCCGTGCCCCAATATTGCCAACGGGTATCTCTCGCTCCCACTTTCGCGCACTCTCAGCCGGTTCGTACGTATTCTGTCGTGAGCTACCTGCTTTCACGAGCATGCTTCTTTTTCTCAGTGTCTTTTAAACCTCCGTCACTTGATTAACTCGAGACTGATTCGCTAATATATCACTGATTAACGATATTATTGTAGTTTAACACGACCACTGTATTGCAGTATTGTCGAGAAAGTGTGTTCGGTGAGTGATATTCATTTTGGTTCTTGGAAACAACATGCAGCGCATACAGTTACATTTTATTCGCAGAATTTTACTGATATTCTCTTGCGCGTGCTAAGAAATGCCCGGTGATTTGGAAATGGAAGCAAACTTATAGTATTCGTTGGACGGAATAGAAAAAGGCTTATATAAATGTTAAATAGCCAGTTGCGATTGATACTGTTTTAATAAGTAGTGAGATGTTTAGTTATTGAAAGTTGAAAGTAACGTATATGAATTCTTTTGCTGGAGCAAGTATAAGATAGTGCCGTCTAATTTTGATAAGTTATACTTCTAATGAGTCGGTGGTCTAATAGATGAAGAGATTACGAAGACATTGTGTTGCTTTCACAAAAAAAACATTGATCTACATTAAATTTAACTAAATAAAATACTTTCAACAAAACAGTTGCCGGATTTCTGATACCGTTACTATAGAAAGTGTCGTGTGTATTTACTATTGCTTGCGTGTTTTCATCAAGTTATTACTGGACACTTTAAATTTCTTTATCGCAATGAAATGAAAATTTTCAATGATAAGCAATAACAACAATTGAACAATTTTTTTTCAATTCTAAAAATGTATTCTATCAGTAACAATTACTTGTATTACCAATGATAACTCTATTCATCCGAGGCAATTCCTTCTCAATGAATGACATCAAGGTAATTTCCGAACTTAAAAAATAAATTCTTTTGTTTTTACTCCGTGAGACCGCAAGTTTCAACAACACGGCACTTGCCACTGAGATCGACAACATAGCCTCAACTCATTAAAAACATGAGGTACACATGCACATCTAAATTCGACGTTTTGTAATTGATGCAACACGCTGATCATGCAAAACAATCAATGCAAATTATCCTTGGATATGCTTTAAAAAGCAATGCAGCTATAAGCGTTCGAAGCGTTGGTAAAAAGAAAGTTGGTTCATTTTACTCGTGGCGAATTTCGAATTGTCCAATCTTCTTAAAGTCCTAATTTGCTTTGCTGAAACTTGAGTGGAAAGAAGCCTTTCGTTGCTCGCTTTTACACTGTTCAGATTAACGAATAAAAGAAGTGATCGCATCATGTATAACGGATTTACTATGTGCGTTAAACCAATTAATTCGCAAATATCTCAACATTATTTAATTGTTATTTTCAGATTAATGTGCAATTGCAATTCGCCGTGATAAATGATAGAGTCTGAGATGCGATACATCTTCGCCAAAATTTTCATCGTAACAGCCGTAGCTTTGGCGAATCTCGTCAGTGCAGGATGCTACGATCACAGATTCGAAACTTACCCCTTCGAGGTGAAATGTCTGAACAACGATACGTACTTGCGAATCACTTGTCACACGGACGATTGGATCAAATCCCTCGTAAAGCTCGATTTACCCTTTGCCTCGAGCGTGGGATTTATAGACTGCAATTTTCCTAGAACGGCGAATCTGCCGGAAATTCTTCGGATTATGAACGTTACAGTCAATGATCACATCACGATAGCGGGACGTTATTCTTCCCTAACCAGGGATAACTATCGAAATCTCTCCGTAGCGCATCTGCAATTATCTGGCGGATACGACAACATGTCGCTAAGCTACGACCTACTTTACGATGTGACGGATTTAAATGAGTTCGACATCATCGGTAGCGATGTCGTCCAAATTCCCGAGGCTTTCTTCGAAGACTGGGCAAAGAACATCGTGACGCTTCAGTTGTTCAAGAATAAGCTTCGAAAAATTGCCAGAGCCGATTTCGCCCGGCTAGTCAATGTAGAAATATTGGATCTTAGACAAAACGATCTCGATGAAATCGAGCCAAGCGCCTTTGACAACTTGACGCATCTGCATACGTTGCGACTTGACAACAATCGACTGCACACCTTACCGTCCGGTCTGTTCCATCAACTCGGCCGGCTAACCGACGTCTCATTGAGTCTCAATTTCTTCGACGAGCTACCACAAAACTTACTCGAAACAACTGCGAGCCTCACGATATTTGCCATGATCAAAAATGATGGCAAATTGAAGGCGGTGCCCAACGGCTTTTTCAAGAATCTCGGTAATTTGGAGACGGTTTACATGGAAGGCAGTCAAGTGGAAAGTCTGCCCGCCGACTTATTTATTGGTTGTTTCAAGCTTTCGCGTGTCAGCATCGAAGGGAACAAATTAAGAAATCTACCAGCCGAGCTATTTGCTGACACCAGAAGCCTTGAGTATCTAGAAATCAGAAATAATCGCCTGGAGTCTTTGCCCTCGCAATGGAGCGAGTAAGTGTCAAACTCGTAAGACACTTTCAGAGACTCAGCTTTGATATTATTAATTCATGTTGATTTTCAGGAACGATATGGAAGGACTGCAGTCACTGAAACACTTCGATGTCTCTGGCAATAATTTAACTCGAATAGATAGTCGTCTCATCAGATACTTGAAGTCAGCGATAGTCGTGAATTTATCGCGTAACCAATTAAATTTCGACAGTTCGGACAAAGTAGAATATCAGAGTGTGTCTCCCTCGATAAACGATGTAAACGGAACAAGGACGTTCGACATCGAAATCTTTCAACAATCAAATTTGGATTCTAGCGTTAAACTGAAACGTATCGACTTAAGTCACAATAGAATCGTCCACATCGATGTAAGTAACCCTTGTTCTGGTAAATTTATTATTATGTGAAAATATTAAAGTTTTACAATTAGAGTGAGCTTCAGCAACCATCTTTATCCTTTGTAGGCTGACGTGATGAGCATCCTGAGGTACAGCGAAACCATCGATCTCAGCTATAACCGTATATCCAAGATAAACATGTCTGCGTTGTCTTTCGCATTGAGTGCGCGCGATGTGAACGAGACCGGTAAAATGACGATGTCGTTGCGCGAAAATCCTCTGCGTTGCGATTGCGAGCTCACAGACTTCGTTCGTTACCTGGCCGGTCAGGACGAGGGTGAAGCCGGCAAAATAATCATCGACGACCACGAGTATTATGGTGGTATCTCCTGTGCGTCGCCCGCAGAATTGAAAGGCCTCCCCGTTTTCAAACTTCGCCCGGCAGAGCTGAGTTGCGTAGTGGAAACGAGCGCTGCCGATGATGCCTGCAACGGCACCTGTCGCTGTCTAGAGTATACCGCCAAGCGAGTTTTGGCCGTGGACTGCTCCCGCAGAAATCTGACGCGACTGCCGCTAATGATTCACAACGAGCACGACTCGTCGATCGAGCTCAACATGACCGGCAACAACTTACAACTTGCCACATACTCCGATCGACCCTACTCGTCCAACGTTACTAGCCTGGATCTGTCCAATTGCAATGTAAACGATGTGACGCTCGACATGTTCTCACCGAGGCTACGGTCCTTGAGACTGCACGGCAACCACATATCGCGTCTCAACTCGGACGTTATCGAGTACTTGGCCCGCAACGACTCTCTGCGCGACATCACGTTCCACGACAACCAATGGATCTGCGACTGTGAGACTCGACGATTCTTCGATTTCGTGAAAGAGACATTCGCCAAATACGATTTTCACGAGATCGGGTGCGATGGAGCCAAGCGGAAGCTCTACCAAATGACCGTAAGCGAATTCTGCAGCGTGACCGGAACTGAAGTCATTACCAGTGTATTTATCGTGCTTTTGATCCTTGCCATTTTCGCTGCCCTCTACTACAAATACCGACGCAGGTGTAGAACGTGGTCCTACGTGAATCCTCCCTTATAAAATTGATTGCTTGAACAGTGAAGTCGTTCATATGATCAGCTGGCAGAAGTAGATGAGTAACTGCCACGTTACGTTATTCTTCAATTTTGCTTGAAAGAGACGGAAAATTTAAAAACTTTGCCACTAATTGAATTAATAGTCGACAGTTGAGTAAAATTTTTAGTCACTTCCATGTAAGATGATTTGTGAACAGTATGCGGTCAATATCTTATACAATTGGTCGCATGTCAATGTTAAAATTAGTATCTTCACCTTGACTTAAAATGATAGACAAATATCTAGAATTGTAAGATGTGATATACTCAGAAGATAAAAATGAGAAACAAAATTGACGTGTGTGCTAATGTTCGTCTAGTCTGTAAGCAATCAAAAAATTTATGCCACGAAATGCTAAGATGCAAAGATAAAAAAATGCTAAAGTAATAATATTTATCCAACCAAATAAACGACAATTTGATAGGTGATAAAGTGGCTGTGCAATAATAGATATCCTACGTTACAAAATATGACTTGTTTGGGAGAATTAACTTTTTTACAAATCGATGTACAATACTGCAAGAAATCTGCTGCTAGTTCCACGGACTTCAGCTACCAAGACGACTCCAAATAATAAAGTGGGAACAATGCATTTGCGAAGAGATTTCGATCAATAATTGTCAATGAAATACTTTTGGAAACGCCCTCTTGAATTCACATTGCGTACAAATTGAAATGTTAGTATTTAATATTTAAAATTGCATTGGAGACATAAAAGAAATAGTTTTACAAAGATTTATTTTATAGTATTATTTTTCGACCTGCCATTCAATCGATTTTACAGTATTTTATTTGTGATGCCGCTCTTAATATTATTTCAGAGTATTGTAGACTTGTAGTTTTCGTCGCGCAGCCTATAAAAATTAAGACTACATCTGAAACCTGTCTTCCAGAACCGAAGTTCTGACAAAGAACAGTATCTGCTATACAGCCGATGCACTTTCTACATTCCGGTTTTGCCGGTCATTATCTCCCACTCCTACTCGCGTTTCGACTCAGCTAGCGCGTACATATTTTTTGCCAAGAGTATCATCTTTATTCTCAACGCATTCCGAAGCTTCATTGCTTGAATAACTGACCTCAGATTCATTACTATATAATTGTACAATGATGGTGTTCTAGTTTATACAATATGAATAGTATTTTATCGGCATTAGTATTGCGTTTGATAAGTTTGAAAAATTTAATAAGATACTGAAAAGTAATATAGATGATAAGGAGATTGTATCGCAGTGACGAAAATCAATCTGAAACTTTGTATAGGTATTGTTTATTAAAAGCTACAAACCAAATTCGTTGAAAATTTGCAAAGGGCTATCCTGAAAACATAACACTTCATGTAAATATGTAAAGAATCAACTCGGATTCAAACATATTTTTGCTACTCGATGGGTCATCACCAAAACAATGATGGGAACCATCTTTAAACGGCAAATAATGCGTAGATTTTCTCACGCTAAATAAATCAGGCTCGATGTTTCGATACTAAAAGTTTATACCTGGATCTCAATAAACTGAATAAGTCAAAAACGTTACTTTCATATCTTTTAGGATCGTCACTTTTAGTCCTTTAGGGTTATTGAAAGTGTACAATGAAGTAGCTTTTCTGCGCAAAACTACACCTGCTGCATATTTTCTGCAAATGATGTATGTTTAATCAATCTCTCGTTGTGTTTTTGGTCAATATTTTTTATAGTCGTGTAATTGCATAATTTTAAAAATTTCTTTTCAGAGTTTGACTTGAATTGATGGATTAATTGCCAAGGCGACTTCGCATTGTAGCAAGTGACATCGCATTGGAGCAAGATTCGAGAAGTGAACTTTTTGAATGTAAAGATTCAAGGAATGGTGTTTACTTTATAATTTTTGTGACCATAATAAATCGGTGCTATTCTTTTACTATCCCTTTCCTTCAAATAAAGTTAATAGTTATTAACAAATACACGAATTAGATGAGAAAAAAATTTCAATTTTGTACACGACGCTCCCTTCCCCCTCCCTACGTATAGGCGCAATTCAGAAAAGAGTCATTATAAAAATTGATGACACACGCGCCTTCCTCTGCTGTAGCATACCATGCAAGACCTCGCGCGAACGTAGCTACAACTTTACTGTAGAGTGCACCAGCGGCATAAGTATAATATCTGCTCGACGCGGCGTTCATCATTAGAAGATTGTCCGCGTTTTCGTCACACCACATTACTAGAGTACCAAAAACTAATTGACAATAAGTCGTCCGGTCGTTTTTAACGATTTTGAGACGAACTGCACGATAAATTTGGAACGTAAATTTGATAATTGTGTCGTATAAGTGGACCGTGAGAATGTACGGAGAAAGTATAAAGCAAGTTGAATTCGTTCATCTGCCAGACATTGTTTTGGAGATGATATTATCTAATCTGACGTACGACGAGATCGCCAGAAATAGAATAGTGAGTGCCCATCTTTGTTTACATTTATAAAGTAACGTCCGTTTCGACCTCAATTTGAAAGTAATGCTTCGTTTATGTATGATTGTTAACAGGTCTGCAGACGACTGAATTACGTATGTAAAAAATTATTGAACAAAGGCTTCTACTTATTGGAAAAAACACTCGCGCGTCAATTCAATGTTTTAAAAAATAAACTGCCTCGCAGAGAATCCGAGAAAAAACATCATCCATTAATACAACATTATGACATATTGTCGAACATGGAGACACGAATATCATTATTGTTTCTCACATTTGCCAAATACATGGACGCCAATTTATGCTGTTTTATTCCTGGGAAGGTACAATAATAATTATGAGCTTTTTTCGGTATGCATCATCGATGTAGGATAAAACGTCTGTTATCTTGAAATTTTAAACTAAATAGTTCAAACAATAATTATATCAATTAATTTGGATTACAAACATAATTATTTATTACAGATACTTGATGAAACATTCCGATTGTTGAATCTAATCAGATCATCTAAAAGATTGCCGGTCAAAAATCACGAAATTCTTCGTGAATTTCGAGATTTGAGTAACATGGCAATGGAACATTTTGACGAAAAAATTTTACCAACCATTGAGTAAAATGCGTTCAAGTTTTTCGTTTCCAATGAACAATCACTTGAAAGTTCAAATGTACTTGAGCAGTACTCCTCGTTCAAAGACATAAAACCAGAAGATCCAGCAAGCAAGGCTTGTCCCGAAAATTTTAGTAAGCCACTGAATAAAATCTACAGCCGTCTGAAGAAAAACAGCCGAACAGTGTATCGTATTAAAAGCCAAGTTAACAAAATGAATCAAAAAATGAATGCGACATTGGGCAAACAGTATATACAAATCCAGCAACAGGATTTGAAGATTCAAGAGTACGCGAACAAGATTAAAGATCAAGATGAACAACTGGCGGACATGAAGGAACAGCTGGAAGACCTAAATCAGAAATTAAAAGATTTGATAATTACGTCGAGCTCAACGAAAATAGTACCAAATCATGATACACGTTAAATTACGAAAACTTTTTGTAACACATTACCTATACAGGTATGTTCAATTTTGCATTGTGCAAGGACAACATTGCGACGTTTCTACAACAATTCATTGCGCCAGGGGTAAACAAAATTGACAATTTAGAAAAATATATATGTAAATTACTATTGTAATAGATTGTTGAGCATATATAAGTCATATTATAAATAATATTTTACGGATGATACGATGTTTATTTATTAAAATCTCAGCATTAGCTCAGTTTGATATATTAGGCATTTAATTTGAAATCGATTACATCGTTTCGGCGACATAAAATTTGTAAACAGGAACGAAAAAGGACAGAGTCACATAAATACAAACACGAGTAGCACTAAACTTGTGTACAATATTGTTGCATGTTCTTTGGATTTATGAAACCTCAAGTCTATCAGAATGAATTTTCTCTTCAGAGAGCACAACGGTTGAATGATTACGGATTGATTGAAAATTTAATTATTGTTATTTAATTAATAGATTTTGAATTGTTATCTGTCAGTAAAATCAAACGGTGACTGTTAACGATGTGTCAAAAGAGTATAAATGATCTTCCAGAAATTGCTTTAGAAATGATACTGTCGTGGTTGTCGTATGACGAAATAGCCAAGTGCAGAGCTGTAAGTACCAACTCATTATACGGTTCATTTTTGCATGCCAAATAAGTAAACTTAAAATCGCTCAAGCGAGTCATTTGGAAAAATGCAAATGCTCCAGCCAGTAGATAATTATCAAAGCGGTAACATTGATTTTCAAATTTCTGTGCAAAATTCATATGAAATACACGATATACTGACATTCAATAAAGGCACCCAAATAAGTTGATGTTTTAGTCATCCAAAGCGCGATCAAATAGATAATTATCTAATTTGAAATTTGGATTTTTGATGCTTTCACGGAAATATTCTACATCTACTTATTTATTTATCTAATGAATTTAAGAACGATGATTCCAAGCAATAATTTTGAATCGCAAGACGGCTCAAATTTTGGGATACTAATTCTTTATCTACGAAATGACAACAGGTGTGCAAAACCTTCGATGAGAAATGCAAACAATTGTTGAATAGGGCACCAAATTTGGTAGATCAACGGTGCAATCAGTATTTATATGTTATCAAACCTCAATTACCCCGTCGAGAATCAGCAAAAAATAGACATCCACTTTTAGCCACTTATTACGCTGTGGATGCGATAAGAATATCAACCATCAAACTGTATATGATGTATGAAAAGTACATTAAACAGAATTCATGCTGTTTTATTCCTGGAAAGGTAAAAAGTGGTTTACAGTCAGTATTTATTAAAAGTTCAACGAATACTTATTAAATTATTTTCAGATAATTGACGAATCATTCGAAATAATTCGTGATCTCAAAGAGAAAGAGAACTGTGGTGATCCATTGAATTTTAATGATTTGCAAGCCGTTTTAGAAGAATTTAAGGATCTTAAAATTATGGCGACCGAGCATTTCGAAGAGAGTATTAAACCACGTTTAGATCTTAACTATAAAGAAGATTATCTACGTGAAGTTGTATTATCTCCATGGATGTGCCACGGTGAATTTGGGCATGATGACGATGAAACTTGGAGAGCCCCGAAAAGAGCTAAACCTAGTAGTCCCACTGGCGAGTTGACAGGTACAGAGTACTTCGCGATTCTACATGATTTGTACTCAAAAATTACTGAACACGAGTCAAAGTTGCAAGAATACGTCAATAAAATCGTACAGCAAGAGTCGAAGATCAGAGAGTACTCGAAGGAGATACAGAATCAAGATTTAAAAATAAAAAATTACCTTAAGAAAATAGCAAATCAAGACACCAAAATGGCAGAATATACAAAGCTATTTGAAAATCAACAATCGAAATTACATGATCAGGGCCAAAAAATTTTGAGTATAGAGTCACAATTCACCAGAGTATCAAAATTGTTGGAAAATTTGAATCAAAAATTAGTAAACAGTGGAGTGATTAGGGAGTAAGAAGAAAGGTTAAAAATTCAGATGCTGTGATGATTAAACATGACTGTAAATAGCAATATTTTTTTTTAATTTTCGCCAAAAGACGTATAATAGAAATCGTTTTAAGACTATGAGTCAAGCTCATCTTGTTCTTTCTAATTTGTAGTTAAATTATTAGTAAAATTGAAATAATATCATTTCATATAATTATGCACCAATCATTTTTAAAAGATTTCCGAAAATTCTATTAAAATGAATTTACACTATGAAGTTTCAAATGATTTACATCAACCCTTATACAGATACAAATATTTTTATAATAGATATCTGTTAAGAGTCACTCAAAGTAAATTTTAAACTAAAACAAATTTTTGAAGCTATATAAGTTTACTATAAAAAATGAAATAAAATTAATATAGTTTATAAATGTTTTTTATTCTAAACCACTTTGTGTCGTTGAACAAAATTTAGATTACGTAAGCTCTAAAATTAGAAAAATTGAAAATAACGCGAGAAGTTATGATAATTAAATAAAATTAAAGGGAATATAAAAAAATATGTATGTATATGTACAAGAATACTGTACATGTTATTGCTACTAACAATTAAACTAACTGTTAGTATAAAATCATAATGTACAAGTATTAAAAATTGCCTTTTTGCGAAGTTCATCGGTTTTTATTTTTATAGAACGGATTGATAAGACTCGGAAGTGGACTCGGCTTAAGTACACCAGCTTTTGGTTTTCGATTAGCATCGTATGGAATAGCAGGACTCTTCAGTATTTGACGAATATACTCCGAAGTATTTTGTGACATGTTTTTTTGGAGCATAATTTTAACCTTTTTTTTTACTGATCCGCTCTCCGATGTTTGCTTCAGGATAGATTTCGTTGGCGTCTGCAAATATAAAAAATTAATCAAGATTGTAATTATAGGATAATAAAGATTAGTTTTTATTGCATATTACTAACTGTAATTTGGTCTTCTAGTCTAGTTAACACAGGTGTTAACCAAGGTATATTAGCACAATCTGGTTTTTCCGATGTAGCTTTATTTTTTTGCGGAGTTTTCTTGATTGCTAATCCTTTTTTTGAGGCAGTAGATGCCGTTGCTGGAGTGTTTTCGTCAACACTCCAATTCGAACTTGTACCAAGTTTGACAAAACTCGTAAGATTATTTTTTGATTTTATAGTGCTCTTAGTGAATGTCTTATTCAACATTTTGGAAGACTTTTTTACTTTTTTTATCGGCAGAGATTCAGATATATTTAATTTTTTTAATTTTTTCGACTTTTTTTTTTTGTCTACTTTTTTACTTTGAATTTCTATATTACCACTGATTACAATATTAGAAACTTTTTGTTTTTTAGCTTTTGACTTTGGAACATCTTCATCTTCAGAGGATAATGAATTTTGATTTTGATCTAAGCTATCTTCTAACAAATCACCATTATTTTTTCGTCGACGTTTTACTGAGTCTTTATAAATTTCATCTTCAAAACTTAATAAATTTTCCGCAGCTTCATACGAATTGACCCTGGTAGCATTTGCTATTGGTATTTCTTTTATTCCAAATGGCATATCACCTTTATGAAGTTTTGTAAAACTAAAATAGAGAAAATAATAATTACCAAACATTTATTATATTTATAAAATTGATAATGTATTATTTAAATAATAATTAATTTACTCATTAATTAATCGAGTTACTTGTTTCCTAGTCATTGTAGTAGATAATTTGTGAAACTTATTTTCTTTTAAAATTTTAGCTATTCCAGCAGCATCAAAGAGTATTTGAGGAATTTGAACATCAACTCTTCCAGCTCTAGGATCTAAAGGCTTTTCTCGTGGTTTAAATACTTCATTGTCTTCTTCATTCTGTTCGTTCTCATTTTCTTCTTCACCATCTGATATTTCCGTTTTTTGCATTTCATCAATACTTTGACAAGGAAACCCAGCCTATAACAAATAAAATCGAATAAGTAATTTTAAATACTGAATTTACTTTTACAGATAAAATGAAAAGCTAACATTTCTCCAAGCATTGAATTTTTCTGTGTAATCCATTCCAACATCAGATTGTAGAATTAGATACCTAAATATATTTTTTATAACATGTTTCATTTGTCTCTGATCATCCATGCTAACTAAATGAATGACAAAAGGCCTGATAAGCTCTGTCACCATATCTGGTGATATATTTCCTTCACTGATCTGTAATTAAAGAATAACATTTTTAATGATATGTAACAATTACAGACTTAATAAATTTAAAGTTAATAAATACATACTTTTGCTAACTCTTCCATATATAAATCAGTAATATGTAAACTAAGGCCTAAACAGATTTTTGGATCTAATAAAAAATCTTCAATAACTTTTGCGACGCCAACAACCCACTGCTTATTCCAAGACTGATTTTTGCACATCACAAATGTCTGCCTAATAATTTTTCTTACTAGCTATTGATTGAAACATAAATTGAAACAGTAGATTTATTTATATTATTACAATGAAATGCTCATAGCATTCAATAAGTGTCTAATGAATTTTTACCATATGAAATTTATCTAATCTATATTGGTCGATACCAAACCACTCATTAGAAAGGCTTATCAAGGTACATTTTGTATAAAGTAGCGCAGGTTCCATAAAATGAAAACAATGTACCAATTTGCTGATAGATTCTGCTAAATCTTCTTGCACCAGAGGTTTGTCCGACATCCACATGCAGTAAAACAAACCTTTCCATAACCTGAAAAAATCCTCCTCTGTAAAAGCTGTAAAATAATAATGAATTTATTGAAAAAACATTTATTTTTCCAACTTTAACATAAATTAATGCAGAATACTAATCTAATTAAATACATACCAAATGAGCTTTGAGAACGCACTGTCAACCATTTCTTCAAATTCTTTAAGACTTTGTCTCTGACATGCTTGTCATTATTAGCTAACAACTGAGCAAACTTTACTTCTTGAGCGATCAATAAGGTATTTCCATTTTTCACTTTATTATTGCTTTCCATTTTGTTTCCAATTTTCTTTTTCGCGGATGCGATGTACTTGGGTGACGCACGTGCGTATTTTCTCACTTTTTTCACCGTCATTTTTGAATTTTGCTTCTTTGCTTTCATATTACAAAGACTACTTTTTACTAAATGCAATCTTAATGATTACTTCATTTATAGCTTACAGATTAATTAACAAATATATGTATAAGCTTAAAAAGAATGCGTTATACTTAACCTAACTATTAACAAAGTATATCGAAACACGTATGAATTAACTCGCAAGGCGACACTAGCGAATGACAAATAACAGTGACTAAAACTATAACTAGAATGGAGTCGATTTCGCGTGTCGATGTTATATAGGTTAATTTTTGCCTGTAAATTTTTGAATTTTAAGATAAATGTAAAGGAATTGACACTTTACTGTTTATGTATTTTAAGCTAAGAAAGTGTAGTATTAAATTATAAAATAAATAAAAAAGCAATTCGTTATTTATATAAAAGTTATCCTTTTTAAGATAACGTAAACTTTTGAAAACAAAACACTGCAGTAATTGTAAACAAAATATCGATAATTAATTATGGAGATTTGTATGATACACTATCATAATCATCAAACTAATTAATGTGACATAAATATATATGACACTAATTCATAAATATTAAATAGATGCTGTCGGGAAAACTTATTCGAACTCCAATCAGTTTTCTACTTTTTTCTTTGAATAGTTTCAAAGTTGCAGTGCGCACGTGACGACGACGCGTGCCAGCAGCCATAATATCGCAGCGTAGCCTCGCTAAAAGTAGTGTCAGTTTCGCTGTTGCGCTCGAACTATTCACCTCTAAAGTGCGGACTACCGCAATATCTGCGCAACGGTTGTCCTTTCTCGAGTAGTCAGTCTCCGCCTCAGTTTTAAGATGCCGAATATTATTAACGATATCAAGCTTGATTTCAAGGACGTGCTGCTTAGACCAAAAAGAAGTACCTTGAAAAGTAGATCCGACGTGAGTGAGAGCTTTTATAATGTTTACCTTCCGCGTTTAGAGACCTATGCTTTATTTATAAATTGCATCCATGTGACTGCAAGATACTAACTGGGTATTTCATTCAAGCTTTTTTTCTACTGTGTGCTTTCTATTTTTAGGTGGATCTATACCGGGAAATTACTTTTCGCAATTCCAAGCAGACTTACAAGGGCATACCAGTTATGGCTTCGAACATGGACACTGTAGGCACTTTTGAAATGGCCAAGGCATTATCCAAGGTAATTTTTTTACCCATATTGTTTTTCTCATATCTGGCAGCTTTAGTATTTCAAAGATATTTGGTATGACATTAGCATGGCTTATTCACCACTGTCCACAAGTATTATACTGTTGAAGAATGGAAAGAATTTGCAAGTAAAAATCCAGAGTGTCTGAAGAACATGGCTGCTAGTTCAGGGACAGGAAATGAAGACTTTGAGCGTCTGTCAGGTGTTTTGGCAGCAATCCCTGAATTGCTTTTTATTTGTATAGATGTTGCCAATGGATACTCTCAGCATTTTGTGGAATATGTAAGAAAAGTCAGGGCTCAATTCCCTGATCATACCATTATGGTAAGTGCATTATATTTATAGGTTTGTCATTAGGCATCAGTTACATTATCATAAAAAGTATGAATAACAGCAGTAAGTCTAAAAGGATTAGGATTAATATACTGATAAACATATATCTTTTTTTTGTAATAGGCTGGAAATGTTGTTACTGGAGAAATGGTAGAGGAACTAATTCTCTCTGGTGCTGATATAATCAAAGTAGGAATTGGACCTGGATCAGTTTGTACTACACGCATGAAAACTGGTGTGGGTTACCCACAATTGAGTGCAGTAATTGAGTGTGCAGATGCTGCACATGGTCTCAAAGGTCACATAATTTCTGTAAGTATCTATATCTAAACAATAGTCCGATTAATTGAGACCATAATTTGTTAATTCTGAAATAAACTGTGAATTCGGTTAGGATGGTGGTTGCACATGTCCAGGTGACATTGCCAAAGCTTTCGGCGCTGGCGCTGATTTGGTCATGGCAGGTGGAATGTTCGCTGGTCACGACGAATGTGGAGGCGACGTTATTGAAAAAGATGGTAAAAAGGTCAAATTATTCTATGGTATGGCATCCAGCACTGCTATGAAGAAACACGTTGGTGGAGTAGCTGATTACAGGTAAACTTTTTTTTGCGAGAGTTTGCGGATATGATAAACATTGCCAACACTGATGCTCATTTAAAGCATCAACGGAAATAACAACATCCCACGCGATGCGCATATAATATTTCTCAATTCGTGGATTGTATATTCAATATTTTTGGTAAAGCTTGTAAGTCACGGCAAAGTGTGAAGAAATATTTTTTTGTAACAATATGTTTCCATTGCGATTGTTTACAAATATGTCATTTTTCAAATTTTTAATATATACGCTGATTAGATAAAATAACGATTTTTTAATTTAACACGCTGTTAAATACTTTGTTCATGGTTTTTTTATAGAATATTCATTTTTAAACAATTAAGTAATAAATAGTACATTACGACACTAGGCCAGAAAGTTGGATTTCCGGGGCGTGCGTAAGTGACGGGCGAGCCGAAGGCGAGCCCGTCATATTACGCACGCCTGGGCATCCAACTATCTGGCCGTGTGTCGTATACTATTTTTCCTTATCCCTGGCCGAAAGTGCCGTGTACACGGAGAGAGTAAAAATTATGGTGATCGTTTTGTAAAGTTGAAATACCTAAACTTTTAGAGGCTAACCGAGTGTGCGGGAATGACAGCTGCGCATGCGCGTCGCGCGTCTAATGCCGCTGCTCTATAGCGGGCAGAAAAAACATTTGGGGAAAATCCGGGGAAACCCCTCGCTTAAATCATGTTAAGCTGGTCTAGCTGCAGTACGGTTAGGTGTCTCCATGCCCGCCTGACTTTTGTAAAAACGAGGCGAAGCCGAGGTTTTACTGGTCAGGGCGGGCATGAAAAACAAAAGTATTTTTCTTAGCCTTTCGGTCAAAAGATAAAAAAAAAACTCTAATTTTGCCTATCAGGGGTCTACATCTTTTAAAAACGCCGCAAAGGACACTCTTTCCGAAGCCTTTCCGCGCCTGGATAGAAAAAAGCATTTCAGCCAATCAGCGCCGCCTTTCCCAAACAGCCAATCAGCGCCGCTTTTCCCAAACAGACCGCAAAAGTCCCTCTTCCCGGAGCGAAATCAGACCGGGAAATAGGCACTTTCGGCCAAGGGATAAGGAAAATATATTTATTCAAAAAACTAAGTGCTGTAAATAACAATTTAAATTAAAGCATATATTTTCGATGAATAATTTATAAAGTTTAGAAAACTAAAATGAATTTACATAATACTTTAATACTTTGCCCAAGAGCACTAATTATCGTATGGATATTTATACTCAAACGAGAAGTTTAATCGATGCAACAAGTTTACAAATCTTTTTCGTTCAAGGTCATCGGAAGGTAAGACAGTGGAAGTACCGTACCGTGGCCCGGTCGAAGCAACAATATTGGATATCCTTGGTGGATTGCGTTCGGCATGTACTTACGTCGGAGCAGCTCGGCTACGTGAATTACCAAAACGTGCGACATTTGTTCGTTGCACGCAGCAGTTAAACAACATCTATGGACCACCGATGTAGAATTAATGATGTGCCAATTGAATGCCTGCACGTGTGCGCAATCGATCGAAAGTCAATTACAAAAATGTAAACGTTATTTTGAGAATCTCTCGACATATTATCGTCTCTTTCTTCTTTTTCAACTGCATTTAACGCGCAAAAGTATTTTTCGACGCTGCATAGGATAATAATTTATTTCCGAGAGATTATATGAGAGCGAATGAAAAAAACAAAAAGAAGTGTACGATTTTACGGACCTCACGCGTATAGATTACAACAGTATTAGCTAGTGCGCATTAGCTATGTTATACGTAGGTAATTGAATGCTGTATTTTTTACCAAAGACGATGGCCTGAATGTATTATGGTGATAGGTAATATTGTACTTCTGATAACGCGCAAAAAGAGAATTTTTTCGTTCTTCGGCACAAATACAGTTAATGTGATGTTATTTTATTATTATTTCATTTTATTTATATACAATATATGATGATTATAGGCAATTTAAGACATAGTGAAGAGAAAGAACTTAATTCTAAAGACAGGGAATTATTATCGATAACAAAAAACAACAGCTTTGTTTATTGTTGGACATGTTTATTCATTTGAGACTTCCAAATGTATTATTAAGTGTCATTTTTTTGGTATGTAGTCAACCAGTTATTCGGCGTCGAAATATTTCAAATTTATCATACAACGACGTTCCGAGGTACAAGTATAATGGTTTTTCAATGTTGTGTGCGCGATGTGTTGCAGATGTACATTCTGTTAATGTTCATTGAATGTAATATAATACGTATGTATCTTTACATCATAAGTAAATAAAAAAGAAACAAGTAGGTGCTTAAACCGAATTATATAAATAATTTCAATCCACTTAGCTTGGAATTCCTTCGTTTTTTATGGGTAAAAAATATTACCACTTTCACTCTTACAACTACATATAGCAATCATTCATTCAATTCAATTATAGAAAGTCATTTTTGATTAAAGTTTTGTTTTCTATTCACATTCCGTTTCACACATAAAAGATGATTACGTCGAGATAGAGTTCCTTTTTCAATTATCAAAGGCGTGATCATTGTATTCCATTGTCGTATCGCAGTAAAATCACTGTTTCTCAATCCATCACACGTTTACTAAGAACATTGTCTTTGGCAGCACTTTATTTCTTGTCCCTGCAATGACATTTCAATAAATTCTCTTTTTCCTCAATAATATGCTAATGTATAATATTATAATTTTTTTTCATTTTTCATTGCAAATATATAAATATTGTAACCGTTGTAAACCAATAAGTGATAACTACTTGATAATCAAAATTGTACTGCCAATCGTTCACGTTGCATAACGTTTTATATGGATTGTTAACTTCACAGACGTAGAATTATCTCTAACACAGGTGAAACAGTAAAAAATTCGAATACGGCATATTGCATTTTCAAGTTTTATTTTATAAGTAGAAATAAAATCATTGTATTAAATCGCTATACATTCGCAATTTTTCTTCTGCTCCGAATGTTTTCAAAAGAACTAAATGACGAATCGTTGATATTAAAAATCGATTCATTAAAAACCAGAATATAATATTATAATTTCAAACATCCATTTCGAGTAAAGAGGAATAATTTGAAATTTCTCTTGTTATAATTGTAAATGACAATATCAAAGATTAAGCTTGCGAGATTCTCTTCCAATAGATTAACAAACTTCATTGCCAGTAGATTAAATTCTTGAAACTAAAGAAAACAAATTACTTTAGATCGTAATGTATTTATCATGAAAAGAAACCTGTCGAATCGAGTTTTCCGTTACGCAACAGTTGATACATATTTTGAATCAGTATTGCTGTTTTAGAAGACAAGGTATAAGACTTATATCTAAGGGTTTTAAATTGGTTAGATAGTATATTTTTTCCTTTATTTTGAAATTGATCATGTCTATCCGGGGGAAAGGAATACAATTATTTTCAATGTACACTTTGAATATACGATGAAATTCCCATCTCCATTGGCAAAGGTTGATTTTTTGTTGCTGCCTGGTATATATTCTGTATTATCTGATTTTTAGATTGTATTTAATCATGATTTGAATATAGATAAAAATGCATATACAAATTTGTTGAAAGAATAAAAACGCGTAATATTACTATATGAAATTATAAACCTACAATCAGAAATAAGCGTCCTCTTATATTACTTATTTGCTAGAACAATATGTATTTCTACAATGTATAAAAAAAGAGAGGAAATACACAATGATATTCAAAATATCATTGTTTAAAGCGCAGATCGATACGATTGTTGATTCCCTCATGTTCGAAGTGATACTTTCTCTAAGCAATAGCCGAATGGAAACATTAGATTTTTGTTTTGCATGTATAGGTATATACATATAAGGAATATATGTATGAGATGTGAATTCATATGTAAATATTTATAGATTACTGCGGGTAATAAAATCATCCATCAGGTAAGCTAGCTGTAATCTGTATGGAATAAACAAAACACATCATTGTTTAAAACAGTCAAATACATTGATATCATTTATATATTTCAAAGGTGTAATATTGCGTTATATATATATATATTTATATATTTAATTATATATTGACAATGCATATGTAAATTATGGATATAATAATAGTTAAAACATGTTTCAATAAATTATTTATCACACACAAATATCATATATTGTATATCATGTATTAAAATCCATTTCTGATATATATATTCCTGAAATGAAGTCATGGGATGTACAGTATATATTTTATGCATGTATATGTATGTATATATTGTACATTTAATCATCATCATAGTTATAATTTTTTAGAAATATTTGCCTTATGTTTACACCATTGATTTTATAATCTGATAACACGAGAGGTAGTTTATAATAACACAATGTTTGCTAATCACATTATTAAAAACTACCCACATAGCTTTGTAAAGAAAATATGTTGACGTGACTATGTTAACTCCAATCATACTTACCGACACCATTTACATTTTGTCATTGTGAATACAAATAACATTTGTTAATGTATTTCATGAAAAATAATCAATGAAAAATGTAAAATAGAAATCATCGAATGTCAACATTATCACACATCCCACATAGTCTATACAACGCCTATAGTCTTACAGAATAGTTCAATTAAAAAAGTTACACTTACTGGATTGTTTAAGTAGACGTTCAGTTGCTGGGGCTAGCCTGAGGGTACTGATAGTTCTGGTAACCGCCTGCGCCTGGATACGCTGGGTTTTGACCAGGTGCTGCCTGACCCTGAGCCTGAGGCGTATAATAACCGCCAGCCGGTGGGTTCATTCCTGGGTAGCCACCATACGCGGGGAAGGCATTGGGTGCTCCACCAGGCCCACCTGGTGCCCCACCTTGGTTTGGCTGCATTGGATTAGCCGGTATTGCTTGTTGTTGTGGCATCTGATTGTTTGACATGTTGCTACTGGTTTGCTAAAAAATTCGAATTTGGCATTGATTACAAACCGGTGCATTGATTTATTAAAATCGGGAAAAAATTTTTATAAAGACAGATAAAAAATCTAGAAATTTGATTGTATAAAAATACGATGACACTAACTTTATTCTTCATTTGAGCTTCAATAGCTTCAGCTTCTTTGATTTTTCCTATGCTTCTGTAATATTCTGCCCATTGTGCACTGTAGTCTTGTTGACCACCGTTTTGCTGGGCTTGTTGCTGCTGTTGCTGCTGCTGTTGTGGTTGTTGTTGCGCTTGCGCTGGTTGAGGAGCTGGTGGATTGGCACCTTGTGGAGCTAAAAATCAAAATAATCATTTGGAATTCAGTATGTAAACGAAAAATCTACGATGAATTTGCAAAGGAAGAGCTGTAATAGAAAGATAAAAAATCTTACTTTGCTGACTCATGTCAGGCTTAGCTGCCGCCGTGGAAGCAGCCTGTTGTTGTTTAGCCTGTTGTTCGATCATTTCGGCCTCTCGATGCATACCCATCGATCTGTAGTACTCAGCCCATTGTGCACTGTAATCAGGTTGGCCAGTCGCCGGATTGATTTGCACTTGACCTTGAGCTGCTGCATTTGGATCAGCTGCCGGTTGTTGGCCTGGCCAAGATTGGTAACCCGTTGCATTCCACTGATTATAACCCATAGTGTTTTGTGCGCCGTACATGCTATTCGTCGAAGTCATTCCACCACCGAGTTTTTCGCCAAATATTCTCTTGGCATGCTCAACTTGTTCGGGCGTACCCTTGATAGTAAAGAATTCAGAGTCCGTGCCTGGGTTCCGCCTGTCCAATTCGCAATGAGCACCTGTTGTTGCGTTGATTTGTTTAATTGTTTCACCACCTATAGTTATTCAAAAATTGTAAATGTAAATAACTATCTATCAATGGAAAATTAGTTAAAAAATATTAACAATTACCTTTTCCAATGATTATGCCACATTTGTTTTTAGGAACAGGATAACTGAATTCAATTTTACCAGTCATATCATTTCGCCTACCATCCCAACCACCGTATTCATTAGACCGCCCTGAATTGAAGCCATTGCCACGATTCTATTTTTAACAGGATAAAAAAAACGAAGTCACATAAGTAAAAAAAAAGAAAAATTAAATAATAATAAACAGTACGAATTCACAATGAATCATTGCGAGACATACTATAGCATTCTCAACGAGTTCTTTGATCCTTTGACGTGCATTTTGTACTGCTTCTTCACTACCAGATATAGAACATCTGCGATCCTCTGGTCCATCTTCATTAAGATTTAAAAATACAATTTTTGCGCCCGTTTCTTGTTGTAACTTTTTGATCATTTCGCCGCCTTTTCCGATCACCAAGCCAACAACGTTCTTCGGTACAGTAACCTGAAAATGAATTAACATGTTAGTTTTTATCTTCTTTCACTAATAGAAATCGAATTTTTTGTGTAAATATACTTGAACTGCTAGAATAATTTCTGAACATACTAGGTATAGCAACATTTTGTTATAAAACAAAACATTGCTTCTTTGATATAATAAACAAAGTAAGTTTACCTCATCAGAATTTCCACCTCGTCCGAAATCTCTTCCACCTCTACTGTAGGCTTGCATTTCTTTTTCAGCTATCAGTTCATAAACTAACTGTTTTGCGTGCTCTACTTTTGAAGGATCGCCAGTGATTCTGTAAAAGTTAACGAAATACCAGGTATCAATGGTATTCAAATAAAAAAATACGTTACTATCATTATCAATGAAATGGGTAGTTCAAATAATTACCTTAATGGTTTTTCTGATTCTTGTGCTGGACCATCTTGAATAACCACCATTTTAGCTCCAGACTTTTCCTGGAGTTGCTTGATGGTTTCACCTCCTTTTCCAATAATAAGACCAACCTTGGGACCTGGAATCATAATTTCCTGATAGCCTGGGTGTCCTGACAAAATAGCTGAAGCAGCTGGTCCTGCTGGACCCGGGTAAGGAGGATTAGCTCCTGGGATTGGTTCATCCTTTTTCTGATTGACAATTGACAACACAAGTTCTTTGGCTCGGCTGTAACAAACAAACGCAATTGCTAATTTAGTATTTAAACAATTAAAAGTCTGACCATAATAAATTACACTTTACTCAAAAATAATATTTCAAGATGAATAAATAAAATTTAATTGTAATGTACATTCCTACAGTGTTTATATTTTATAAAGTGTGACGAAAAACAAATATATATATCAATTTCATATTTGTATAATCAATCATATCAATAGTTTTATATGTATTCCCATATGTATAAAATCAACAATCATCATGGATGTTATGATGAGCCGTTCCACAGACATTTACATATCATTTATCTTCCAGTAGCAAAACATATGCCCTCATGCATTTTTCCTATATTATTTACTTCCTTCATCCAATATTTTCACTCATATTCTCCCTATCCCTCTTCAAGCCCTATTAGAAGTAAAAGTCTATTAGTACATTGAAAAATCATCAATTCAACTTGTCAAATAATTTTTAAATGACAATTAATATCAAAAGGCCACTTGTACTCACTTCCAGGGCCAATATTTTCAATTATTTAGACCAATTCACATTTGATATACATGTAAAATTACATTATCAATCAGTATTTATAATATAGAAATTAGATATTATCACATAGATATCATATCATAAATATGTATATTGTATATACTTATTGTGTATATGATTCAAATGGACATACAGTGAAAATTCAATAAAAATATTAATTACTTAATATATTTTACCTTCAATAAACCAGAAGATGACATATTCAATATTTTTCTTATGAGTCATGTACAAAAATGTACAAAAAATCATATTTTTTTAGTTTATTAAAATCTCAATATTCCACTTATCACCTGATATTAGCAATATTCATCTAATAAAATTAAATCCTAGTAGGTAGATTATATAGTTAACAGATGAAATTGATACATGGCAATGATTAGAGGAATATGATAAAATGTGTTTTGGTGAATAATAGTATCATCATAATCTTATAAAATTTAATTTGGCATATTGATATTATATTTGATAATTTTCAAAGTAAATTTACCAATTATATGTATATACTTTTTTCTTTAACACATACCCCAATTTCATGCTTTATGAGATTATCTTCACCTAAGTGACCTTAACCATGTGTATATTGCAATTTTTTAAATATTATAGACATTTATAAAATAATCTAGTAGATAGAGTAAAAATTATACATGAGTTGGAAAAAACATGGTTGTTTCAAACCAACAAAGTAGAATGACATTGCAAGTATGGAAAAAAAATATAAAATTGTAATATCAAACATAAAAAAGTAAGTTACTTGACAGCATCTCGTGGGCCAGTTAGCGTGCAAATACGCTCAACCCCACCCCCACTTTCTGAAGCCATCTGTATTTTACATCCTGTTTCACTTTGCAATCTGGAAATCTGTTCTCCTCCTCTGCCAATTACTGTAAAAAAATTGTGAAAAATAAGTTAATAAATAGAGCAAGCAACGTTTAAGGAAAGTCACTACTTTCAAATAAAACTTTTAAAGTTTAATTAATTTTTGAAATAGTGAATTTTATATGATCAAGATTAAAGTATAATTCTACTTTTTTATCTGATGATTTTTAAAAAGAACATTTGAAGTAGTCACTGTCCTCAAATGTTACAGCTATACTATTAAGAAGTTTTTTTAACTCCAAAATTTATTTAATAATAATACATCAGATAACAGAAGAATATACTTACTCAATCCAACCATTTTGTCAGGAACTCTAATATCTTCATTGCAAATACCTCCGACACTAGACGCATTAGAGACTGTAGAACCAGGCCTCGACGGATCATCAAGACCAAGATTTAATCCAATGGATCCACGCAGATTTGCTAATGGATCAGGTATATGCTTCTTTGCTTCAGGTTCTAGAATTCAATAAAATAGGGGGATGCCAAACATTGCACATATTGTCAAGTATAACATTGTTTTGAAACAGTGGAAAAAATTTTTTTCACAAAGTTATCATAATTGATCTAATGGTTATGAACAATACAACAAATAAACATATATTGTATAAATGGTCAAGTATTGAACAATATTAAAAATACATATTATAACAAATGACACATTTATGTTATAAAAGATATTAAATAAATTTTGAAACCAATCTTAAATAATATAATAATAATAATATTAATAATTATAGTAGTAATAATAATAATAACAATAATAATAACAATAACAACAACAACGACAATGTATATTTATTATTATATTCAATGTTTTACCTGTGCCATCTTCCAATGAACGCTTCTTTGGCTCTTGATTATTTTGTGTACCCTGAGGATTAATCTTAGCTGCAATCTGTAAATAAGAGTAAACCAGCATAATATTTTAACGAGAATAATCTCGTTTTGCCTTGAGAGGAATATACCCAATATTAATAAAACATTTCCGGAGAATATTATATGTCATCAAATAAACCGGAAAACGTATATATACATATATATACATATACGTATATATATATAAAAATGATAAGTATTCATGAACTGAAGAATGTAGACTGGAGGAAGCACGAGTATGGGTTGTAATCAATAATTCGATACACGGAGAGCCGTACTGATTTTCTGCGTGTAAATTAAAATGTCGTTTCTCACACTCGTTACATAAATCAGATTGAAATAGACAATTATGTCGCTAAAATAGTTACGGCACTTGTTCATTTGTAACCCGGCATGTAGGAAATCCGCCATACCTGTTTAGCACGTTGCAGCGCAGCGGCAAAAGCTGAGCTCTGAGAGAGGTTGGACGGCGGGGCTACAGCCGAGTAATCACTCATGTTCGCCATGTTTTGTAAATTCTGTTGTTGCTGTAGTTGTTGCTGCAGTTGCTGCTGCTGTTGCTGTATTTGTTGTTGCTGTTGAACCTGTGAGTAATCGTCTTCTTGAGACCTAGAGTCACGATCGCGTCGGTCTGAAGACGATTTTGAGGATGAGGAACGACGATAAGATGAGTCTCGGTCTCGGTCGCTGCCTCGATGATCACGGTGGTGGTGGTAGTCGTCCTCGTCACGCGGGGAACCGCCGCGCCTCTTTTTCTTGCCCGCCGTGATTGATTCTTGTAAAGGGACGAGCGCCAGGAAAACACTACTCACTTGAACTTACACCCGCACACGGAACAGAATGACGTGGATGCAGTAATATATCGACTCGACACAATGCTACTAAAGCAGTACTAAAACGGAGATGGCTGACGCGATCAAGGCGTCGAATCGGCGACGGGCGACAGCGCTTTGAATTAGGTTAAGTTCGAATCTAATCTGCGCGTGCGTATCGAATCAAGTTCCGGTCATTTTGATTGTTTTAATGTTTAAATTGTAAAAAATATTTATTGGAAAAACCATTTTTTTTAACAAGGAAAGTTAATTTAATAGCTATTTATGAATGATTTAGTAATGTAAAATTCTCACTGCTTTGTTTAAAAACATTTTTATTTTCATAAAAATGCGCGAAAATTTTAGATGAATATTTTACTGATTAGATGGTTTAGATGATTCAATTACATAGATGATGTTTTTATCTTATTTTGTAGTATAGGTATAATAAAGAAGAGATTTCGAGTGTTTCACCTGTAAAATAACTTTTTTAATTTATTCGAAACGAAATTCGTTCTACGAATTGTACGTTATATTATTTATTTATGAATTAAAAGTATTTTGATTTTTTTTCTTATTGAAATTATACTCAAATGAAATAAATCTGTTTTGTGCTTTTTCAAGTATTCATCATCATCAATAAATTTAAAAAAATGGTAACGTGTTCTTTTCAGTATTGTTTGTATATATAATAAAATATATCTTCACAATCATGGAGTCAGCAATGTTAATAACTTTGGATAATCTAACTACTACAGAATTTAATGAATTATGCACTAAGGCAAAGGATTGGTTGGCAATGCATGGTAAATACATTGTTACCAAATGTTATCATCGAAACTTAAAAATTATTTACCATATTTCTATATTTTCTAGGTGCACTCATGAAGTCCAAAAAAGATCCAATGCAAATTTGCTATGCTCCATTTTTACTTTTGCCATCATTTTTTCCAAGAAAGGAATTTGAAAAGGGTCAGCAAACTCAAATCTTACTCAATGAGCTTATACATAAAGTAGCTCACGATTACAAATTTTTACGCAACACCTTAAAAAAGTATTGATAGTTGCCATTGTATCCAATTCGTACAATATTTATTTATAACATAAAAACTTTAATTAATGTTTTTCATAGCATTATTGAAGCGGATGATTTTACTGCAAAGCTTTTTGATATTTACCAAACAGTTTACTTGGAAGGATTCGCACAGGTTTATTTTATATTTTATATAACTTATTAATATAGTAAGAAAGAATCTTAATTAATACTGCTTTTGTTTTAGAGTATTAGTTTAGGTTTAGTAAGGTCCGATTACATGCTGAATACCGACGATGTAAATAAACTTAAACAAATTGAAATCAACATGATTTCAACAAGTTTTGGAGGTTTGGCACCGATTACTTCGGCATATCAAAGGTAAAATGTAGTAATTCTTTTAAATTCATGTCATATTTGTAAAACATATTCAATAATTTATGTTGCGTTTGTGTGTACAACAGATTTATTTTATCAGAATTAGGTTATAGAGAAGCAATAAGTAGTGTACGTTTGTTCAAATTTATTTTCTACTATTTTATGTACTTTCAACAGTTAAAAATAGATAATTTCTTAAATTTTAGATTCCATTAAATGAGGCTGCTAATGGTTTCTGTAAAGGCTTAGTTGAAGCATGGAAGTTGTACAATAATAAAAAGTAAAACATTACCATTTTCATTCTAATTTAAAAGTAATCAAGGTGACTTATCAGTTATTTCATTAACAGGGCTATGATATTAGTTGTTGTAGAAGATATCGTATATAATATCTTTGACCAAAGAGCTCTAGAATTCAGAATACAAAAAACCAATCCAGAAATTGTGATTAGTAGGAGAACTATGACAGAGTTGATTAAACAAGCTAGTTTGGGACCACAGAAGCAACTCTTAGTGTATGGATAAAAAGCTTTACTTAATTATTGTTTTAAGATTAATTTGGTTGTAATATATAAATCTAAAATATTACAGTAACAATTCTGAAGTGGCAGTAGTTTATTATAGAAGTGGATATCAGTTAGAAGCCTATCCTACTGAGAAAGAGTGGAAAGTTAGATTACTCATTGAGCGCTCTAAAGCAATAAAATGTCCATCAATACATTATCATTTAGCTGGAACAAAAAAGGTGAACAATTATAAATTCTTTTTCACATTTATCTGTTATTTGTTAAGGCTTAACATTGCCTAAAACGTATTTTTATTATTTACTTAATTATGTTTTGAAAGTTTACAATAACAATATTTGTATTTATAGGTCCAACAACAATTAGCAGTACCAGGTGTCTTAGAGAATTATTTTACTGATTCCAATGAACTTGCGAGAATCAGAGAGCTTTTTGTTGATATTTATTCTTTAGATTTAGTAAGTAAATAACCATTTCTTACATCTCAAATACATTGTTTATTTAATTATATAACATTTCTTGCAGGATGAAATGGGAGACATAGCAGTAGAGAAAGCCCTCAAAGATCCTAATAAGTATGTGTTGAAGCCACAACGCGAAGGTGGTGGATATAATATATATGGACAGGAAATAAAGGCGAAACTGGAAGCTATGAAAAATTCGATAGATCGAACTGCTTGGATATTAATGGAACGGATTCACCCACCTATTCAAAAAAATTATCTTATTCGACACGATGACGAATGTTTAGAATTGCAAGAATTGGTATCAGAACTTGGAATTTATGGTGTTATCATGGGGTAAATTTAATTATTGTTGAAATTCCGATTCCATAATATATTATTTCGAAGTATCATTAAAATAAAATATAATTATTCAACGACTTTTTAGAAATCAAAATGAAATAATAATGAACACCCAATGTGGTCACATTTTACGCACGAAACCATCGTCTGTAAATGAGGGAGGAATTATTGTTGGCGCTGGCGCTCTTGATTGTCCATATCTCATCGACTAAAAGAGACAAACCACCAGATTACGTATAATTTTATTATTTGTTTATAGTTTTTCCTTCTAATAACTTCGATAAATTTTAATGTTTTTATCATAAAATTATATTATAAATAATTAAAAATGAAATTGTACTATATCAGCTACTTATAAGCAACAACAGGTCTCGGTGACTCCGTAGGTAAGAGCCCAGGTTTCTGTGCTAGAGGTTGTGGGTTCGAACCTCGGATATATGAAGATTTTTAGAAATGAAATTTTCATGTTTGTTATCGGAATTCCGGTGTAGTCCAGTAATTCTAGAAAAATTAGCTATATTTTCCGCGAAGAACGTAATTTTTTTTTTACGGCTGCGGAATAGTATGTAAATAACCGGAAAAATAATTTTAGTAAATGAAAATATCGGGAACATAATTTTATAAACAGTTTAATGTCGAAAAACGGCACTTATTTTAGTTTTCTGTTAACAACTTTTTTTATAATTATTTATAGAGATGAGGTCAACGGTATTAGATTCATGAATAAATTTTACATTTAGATTAATACTTTTCAGTCAAAATTATTTTTTAATATCTACATTTTACCATGTTTGCGAGATGTTACGAAAATTCAAGTTACGTTACTTTCAAAAGTTCATTAACAATTCTATTGTAACTTAAGCATTCAGTACATATGTTAAAGTTGTTTAATACAAACTTAATGTGGGCTCTTGAATTTTCGTAACATCTCGCAAACATGCTAAGATATTGTTATTAAAACAAATGTTTTTTTTATTTTGTTTAACGTTGCTCTATTTATGCTCCATCAGTGCTAATCAACGACGGAGGCTTGCAATGTGTTTGAGAACAAAGCACATGAACCTTTTTTCAGTGGTGCTTGTATCAATCAGCAGGAACTAGGCATCGAATCCGGGTTTACCTGGTGCGAGTCCGTCGCCCTACCGACTGATAAAACAAATGTTGATTTCGAAAAGTATTAATCTAAATGTAAAATATATTACCGAATCTAATTCCATTGACCTTATTTCGATACAATAATTTGAAAAAAGGTGTTAACATAAAACTAAAAAAACGCTGCCAGCTGCTCTGGCGGTGTGCTTCCTTGGAATTTTTGTTATTTACGTTTGTGTTTACGTTATTAATCGTTTTTATATTCATTGTATTTCATTAAATATAGTATATTTCATACAGTAATTATGAAATAATTGGTTACATGCATAATTTTATTGCAACTATAATGTAACATTATTTTTTATAAAATTTTTGAAAATAGGTTTCTTCTAAGTACTATATCTTTTGATATACATCGATTATTCAATCATGCGATGATTCATTTAAAAGCTACTTTTATAAGCTTTAAAACAAGCTGTCATATGACGAAAAATACGTTCTCAATCAAAAGTTATAGCAATTTTACAGAAAAATCACTTTTTAAAAATTGACAACTTTTTCCTAAAAATGGGTATAAAATATTTTTTAAGTCGGTTATTGGCCTTAAAAAATATTTTCCCACCTACCTTCCATCATAACAAAACATATAAAATAAGTCTCATTAAAATCTATCGACTGGAATAGTCATGGCGATTGACAGAACACACACACATACACTCATACATCCCCACGGACAGACGTCATCAAAATATGACTTTAACGATGATTCTGAGCTTCTGACAATAATTCTATGGTAAAATATTAATTTACACAGTTTCAGGACGTGTAGATCTACCAAAAAAAAACAAGAATGGAACCGCGAACGATAAAATTAAAGAAATTACAGCGAAAAAGGAAAAATTATTGAAAAAACCGAAAACAAAGCTTCCTTTCCAAGGAAGCAAAAGTGTCGTTTTTCAACATTAAATTATTTATAAAATTATCTTCCCGATATTTTTATAGACCAAAACTATTTTTGCAGTTATCCAGATAGTATTCCGCGGCAAAAAAAATTATGCTGTTTGCGAAAAATATAGATAAATATTTTTTTTTCGTATGAGAATGATTGGACTAAGTGTTCGGATTCCATCGTAAACTATAGGATTTTCAAAATGTGATGGGGAGGTGGGTTTATATATTCATTACTAGGGAAAACCAAGTGAATGCGTACAGATACTTACAATTAGTGTACCTCTGCAGCGCTCCATGTGAACTTAGCTCTTGAAATCACAATAACATTCTTAACAATTATAATTAAAAGAAACACCGCGTGTATTATTTTATGTATAACGTTGAAATATTCAAAATAAATAAAAGAAGGTTTAATTTTTACAATTAATGCAATATAGTATTTTATTTACGTAACTAAAACTGCAAACGCGTGTCTCCAATAACAAAAAATTCTTTGAAGAGAAACGACTACTCAATATCAAATAAGCTGTATACGTATTGACTGAAGTCTATTAAAACGTTTTTTTCATTTAAAATTCAGACGACATATATGTACTTTTGGCTAAGGTAGAGTGAAATCGTGTTTTTCGGAATGTACGTGCAATTCTAATTTACATAGTCTTGCGTCGTCATCACCAGCCACTTTTGCCAATACGAATAGTTTTTTTAATAGGAACGAATAAATGTTGTTTTCAAATATATTATCGTTATCAAAAATCTATTTTTTTATTAAAAAAAGTATTACGGAAAAATTCAACAATACCAAAGATAGATAACAGTGGTTAAACGCTTCTTTTTTTCTAAAAACAAACTTACTGTAATTCAATCTATCTTGCTATTCCGATAAAATGTTATTTCTGATCTAATTTCTATCTTTTCGCTTAATAAGCTTAATCTTTTTTTTATTACGTACTCAAGGAAGTTTTCCGCTAGCAAAAACTTTTATTGATCGTAGCGTATTCTATTCCTGTAACAGCAGAAGCATCTTATAATAAATTATAAAGAATAATTTCGGAATGTTAAAGCATATGGGTACAGATAGAATTAGAATTTTGTTGAGAGCACATGATAATAATTATCGGTAATCTTTATTTTTTGACATTTAAATGCTGTTAATCTACATCAAAAGCTACATTTATCTATTACACTTTGAATCTTATATTATTGGAAAATTATGTGAAACAAACATATGTTTTAATACCACATATGAATATTTCACAAGTATCCAAAACTAACAAATCACGCATAAAAGAAAAATGCAAGCTTTCCAACAAACGAAAAACAAACAAAGCGAAAGTAGATTTTGTTAATCTACTTTATTGTTCTCATTGATTCTCCTTTCTATTCTAATCTTTATCACGTCAACTGGCTTCAACATAATGTCGGCCTTCAACTTGATGTCCTGAATCGGCAGGACATTATCCTTCTTTATTATATATTTTCGGACTACTGTCGCTAGCAAAACTTTCATTGCCAGCATTGCGTATTTTATGCCTATAAAAACATAATTATTCAGTGAGACTAGGTTGCTACTTTTTCCGTTAGATTTAACTTGGAATGTATCGATTTTTGAATTTGATTGAAAAATAAAAGGTTATTGTGTGCATACTATTCAGAGAAATACATTATATTTTAATATGCAAAAAAATGAAGCTTTAAATATCCTTTTAATTCATTGAAAACTGATAGGAATTTTTATATCTTCATGGCTACAAATTCTGAACATGAAAGTCTCAATAGAATACACAAATTAACGTGAAAATGAAATTAAAAATGCAAATAAAAAAAAAATAAAACACTAAGCATCGATTTAGATTGATACCGTACCCAAGCAATTTCTAGGTCCAGCGCTGAAAGGTATATAAGCATAAGGATGTCGTTTGGCACACTCTTCGGGCAAAAATCTATCCGGATTAAAAGTCATCGGGTCTTTCCAAATTTCTTCGTTACGATGAGTTTTGATTATACCTAAAACCACTGAGCTACCTTTCGTCAAGGTAAATTCCCCTAAAAAATATCACGCATTCTGATAACTTATGCCTCCAATATCAAGTTTTCTGACCAGTACCTATATTAAGATCATCGGTAACCCGGCGAACGAGAAGTGGACCCACTGGGAATATTCGCATTGTCTCCTTAATAACACGCTCCGTATATTCCATCCTATACAGATCTTCGTATTTGACCGGTGCTGCGCAGGGATCTTCACTTCCGTAAATTTCACGTAATTCCTCGTACACTTTGGCCTGAAAATTATTTATAATTTGATTCATGTGCGACACGATGTACTTCTGAAAGGTTCACTGAATTAATGCAATAAATAAAAAGGATGAGCAGCATGAACTTACTTGAATTTCTGGATGACTGGCCAGCATTAACATAACGAAGCAATTGACTGTAGCAGTTGTGTCGTTTCCCTGCAATGTTGAAATGCAAATAAAGCACAAGTCTGCCAGGTCTTATCATGGTAATCACATTAATTAGTAAAATGATCATAGTACAAATCTGCGCACGGCAATCTATACTTACGGCAATCATCATCGTGTCGACTTCTTCTCGCAACTCTTCGTCCGTAAATTTCGCTCCCTCGTGGGATAACTCCATCAGTAAATCTAGGAAAGCTTTTCTTTTCACTTCAGTGGAAGCTATAATACAATATTAATCGATTATTGACGGTGATTTTTTGAAATCATAAGGAATTGAAAATCATAAAAATAATTTGCACAATTTCCAATCTTTCGCGCGACTGTCGTAGTACTGCACGACGAAACTTACGCAAAGTTCCGTGGTTTTCATTATTTTTCAAAGCCAATTTTTTTCGTTTGATCACCTAAAAAATAATGACAACGCAGTTAATAAATAAATCACGTAATTATGCTAGGCGTGAAGAAATGGAAAAATGTCGCACATCGTCTGTGAGTCCATGAACGTATTTGATGCACTCGTGCATATTTTTACCGAGTTTGGTATTGTTAAATATGAAATCCGGATGAAGCCAAATTTTGAACATTCTCGAGTATATTATTTCGAAGAGTCTGCAAATTATTATCGAATTACTACGTTGATGAGAATGAGCTCGATACAATTCTTACTGTTTAGCTGCTTGCACATAAGCCGAGTTCCTTTGAGTCTGTGCATTCGATGATACACCCATTGCGGTTTCTATGACGTTTGAGTGTTGATTTTACAATATATAAAATGAATTCAGTTTGAAATTGCAGGCTACTTACCGCAAATGATGTCGAGAGTGCAAAGCGATACGTAGTGGAATATGTCAAATTCGCCTCCGTTCACTTCAACCTCCATCTCTCTGACCATTATTTCTGATTGCACGGAGAATACTTCGACGAAAGACTCGAGGATTCGCGGATTGAAAGTTGGCATTATCAGTTTTCGATGGATTCTCCACTTGGAAGCTAAAGGATATAAGTTGTTTACCGACACACGCACGATTTCCGTAATTTTCAATGAACAAATCCACCATCAATAACAAACGGAGTGACAGCATACAAATGTCTTGGTTGTATTCAAAATGTTTAATGTCACGTAGATACCAATAATACCCCATTAATGCAAAAGCTCGAGTAAGATGTTACGACCGTTGACAAAAGGCCATCAAGCAATAAAAACGAAAGCAAAAGAAGAAAAACGTACGCGATGCTCCGCACGTACACTTCGCGATGTAAAATCGGTTCACTTGTAGGTGGCTCACGTTCCGATGCGCTAAAGGAACCAACGATAGGTAGGTTTAAAAGACAATACATACCTGACGCCGTGAACAATCCGGTCCCCAACCAAGGCCTTGCAAATTTGTACAGATCTTCCTTTTCGATGGTTTTTGGGCTTAGGAATATCGTCTAAAAAGAAATCATCCAACCTTAATTATAAAATTAATTTAATTTTTTAATTATTGCCAAGAAAAAAAAGAAACATATATTTTTCTTTTTTTCTACCGAATAGCATGTTCTTAAGTGAATTCAAGTTGAAATATTAACAAAATCCTCGACCAGGATAAGAAATATAAATTTGAGATCGTTTGAAGGTAATGTCCGACTAATCAAACAATGAAAAATGCTTTTCTAGTTGATGTTATTTTTTAAGTGGCTTATTATTGTCGCCGGGCTGTGACATTTAAAAGGACACGACCGACTTTAAATTAAAACGGGATCACTGAAGTTTCGTGAAAATTAACCCTCTTTGTTGATTCGATTTGCACGGGCGTGCGTTCCAATGAGGCATCACTTTTTTTTTTTATTCAAACGAACGATAAAACGCATACCTTGAGCTGTTCGGGATCGTAGGCGACGTAAAACAATCGGCCGGCCAACCAAACGCGAAACGGCGAAGGATAAGTTTCCAGTAAATATTGACACTTATTTAAGATATCTGAAAAGAAAAATCAGATTTTTCAGGATTTAGGTAAAGTTGAGGATGAAAAATAAAATTTACCTACCCTGAGTGCTTCCCATGAAATAATGAGCACTACCGATAAATGGCAAATTTGGAGGTCCAGGAAATTTGGCGGATTCTTTGTAAAGACGAAATCTTTGCACGTAGTACAGTAAGATAAACGCGAGTATAAAGATCGCTGAAGCTATCGCGAGCATTGATGACATAGCGACTACCATTTTTATCTGTAAGTACCAAAATAGTGTTTCGAAAAAACACACTTGCTGAATCGATAATTTGCAAAGATTATAAAATGGATCGATCGAGTACTGATGCTTGAAGCGAATCTTTCCTTTTCTTCAGAATCAACTACTTTCACTCGCACTTGATTTCAATAGCGCTAAAAAACACTTGACTGTATTAAGCCCGCGTCTAACAATACTTACTTTAACAATAGAAATAAAAATCTAGTTGGAAAGATCAACTCGTGCGCAATGAAACGGATCCTCGCGCTTAGCGTCGCAGACTACGACTGCGCGCACGAGATCCTCGCGCCCACAGCAGAACTATCTGTTTATTTTATGCCGTATCGCGCGTCGCGAATATCAACGAATCTGTCGGCCTCGCGATTTTTGGATTCAATGGCTGTGGTATCGGGTAAAACCGAGACCATTCGTGATGGGCATTTTCTATGATATCCGGGTAATTCGTTGCGCAGATCGCAGATGCGATCTTTCGTTTCTTTTGTGTGAAACGCCGTGAGTGATTTATGTCGTTGCTGAAGTTGGAGTCGACCAAGTATTTCAATGGATTATTTGTCGGCTTGAGAGTGCAACTGAAAATTAACATTTATTGATGTTTTTTGTTGCATGTATACCCTTGTAAAAGCAGCATCGAGTGTTGCACCTGCGAGACAAATATTTAACTTCTCGAAATCAAGCAAATTCGAATTCAAATACCATGCTGAAGGAAAACAAAACTCGTGATCCCTCCACATCAATTGGCTTTGAAATATCGATCGATAAATTTTTAAGACTGCTTAGAAATATGGATGTGTACGTTATCTAGGATGAACTAAAGAAATATAGTAATGCCGTAATTCTCAAACTGTATATTTGCATAAAAACTTTTACAAAATTTCATTTACTCACAATACAACGAGTTCTCTTAACATTCAAACTTACATACATAATTACCCTAATAATGCGTAGTTTCACAAAAATTGACATTTTACTTTATAAACTCGTTTGCTATTTTGACTTTTTAAAATAGCACATGCGCACTTAAGGCTTACAATATCACATTTAGTAATCTACATTCTTATGCGCATTTTTTCAGACATTTACAATTCACTTAGGTTTACATTATACATTTCGCAATGATATTATATTTTATCTTAAAAATCGATAAAAATTAATTAGACTATCCTAACAACTGTATATGACATCAAAACGACAAGATTAAAAATATTACTTACAATTATAACATCGTTTTAATGTGGGCCTCATAAATTGACGCGATAATTTAACATTTTAGACGGCCATTACATGATTAATATCTCATGTAAAACAATACTATTCATATACCATTAAAGATAATTCATCGATAAAATCCGAATTTTTCTATAATATATATATCAAATTCTATACTCTTGAATACATACACATTTACGAGTAAGAATACGTCTCTTGGCAAATGAATTTTTCACGGTCGGAAAACAACAATCACGCTAAATACGTACATTTTCGTGAAAGAAACCTCGTTAACCAGAAATGTTGGACGATTACGGCACTTTCATTGACGTTAATGCAGACAAGTTTACGAGCTTTCCAGTTGCGGAAGTCTTTTGTTTTATCACTCGATCAGACGCGATCGGATATTCGTAGTTGTGACCTCGTCCATCTCGCTACCGGAAACTTCATCCGAATCAACATGCTGATGTTGATTATTCTTATGGGCAACTTCTGCTCCGTTCATCTGAGAAATTCGAAGATTCCGTTAGGGAAACTTAGTCATTAGCGTTGCTTGAGAACTATGAAAGGCAGTATCCGTGTACCAAAAATAAAAGGATGATCTCTAACGCGTTATATTATAGAGGGAATGAAATAATTCTCGAAAAATAAGACTTGGATGAAGATTAAGTAAACGATAGAAAAATGACGATTCGTCTCACCCAAGCATTCGACATATCCGAGATGGGGTTGGCATACTCGTGCTTTCCGGGCATAAGGGTCAGCGTGTTGTTGGATGTGGTCGACGCGGCGTTGTCGCTTCGTCGTTTGATAAACCTTATGCCGTCGAAGGGATTCCTGAGAAGGTCCGTCAGAGTTAAAATTTCACACAGTTCCGAAATTCATTCGCCATCCCAGCGAGAACTCACTTCAAATTCGGCCTGCGCATCAAATCCGGTCTCTTAGTCTTCACGTAATAGTAAGTTGCCGAGAGCGCAACGAAAGACAGCAGTCCGCAAGTCAATCCGATCCAGACATTGCCGTCGCTGCTACTATCGTCGTCGGTGGACTTGGCAGCGACAATCGGCGATGAGCTGTCGCCGTGATTATCAGTTGGATGTCCATAGTCGAGTTCGATCATTTCGTCCTGGCAGGCCGTGTTGTTCTTCAACCTCGCCAGCATGCCGTCGCGACAGAGGCAAAGCGGTCGCCCTTTGTGGATCACGCAGAGGTGGTTGCAGCTGTGATTTGCGCAGAGGTTCAGCGCTGGAAAACAACGAGTCAGCGGATTGTTCCACGTGCGATTGATCGAACGCCAAAAACCAAGACTTACACGTCGGTTGCCTGGATATTTGCGAGATGACGAACAGCCGATTGATGCTGTTGCTGACAATGGCTATGGTGCTATAGTTCATCTTATTATACAGCAGGCGTTTGTTAAGTACTTGGCTGTCTTCCGATTTCCAATACAGGGTGTCCTCGAACAAGAACAAACCCACGGGTTTACTCTGCGAAACAGAGAGGACGTAAACGGACGGACGTAAAGGAGAATCACTCGACGAAATAACCTTACCAGAAGATTCTTAGTGATGACCTTGCGATACTGCCCATCAAAATCACTGCACTCGATCATCGCGTTGTAATGATCGGCCCAATAAATGAGAGCTCGATGATGGTCAATGGCAATACCGCTGACAATGCCAAGAGACTTGTCAACGACAGTCTTTTGATTGCTGCCAATCAAATCCGAACGGATAATCTCGGCGGTAGGAGCGTTGGACATTTGCCACCTGGTTTGAGCGAAAAATAGAATCTCGAGGATTGGCTCGATCCCCATTGCCGTTACGCTGCTGCTCGACTGGTCGAACTCAACCATCATCGAGCACTTGTTCGTCTGTACGTGGCAGGCCTGCAAAATACGCGCGCGTTCATTGCCAAATTCTGGAAAAGAATGACATCTGAAACACACCTTGATCGACGCTGGCAATTTCGCGTCGAACACGTAGACATTGTCGGTAATCCAGTCGACAATCAATACCTGAGGTCTTCCTAAGGTATCTAACGCGGCTATGCGAGTTTTATTCTTATTCATGTCGAGCTTGTTGATGACTCCGAGCGCCTCTGAAACGTCGTGAAATAGGCGCAGTGAACGAAGTGAATAAAGTTGTGCGTCAAGGCGAAGAATAACGTATCGTACCGTTGCTCCAGTAGACAGTCTCGTCTCTGGCGTTGGTATCCAGCCCATTGATCTCGACTTCGGGATTGCGGAACAGCACTTTCACGGAGCTGCGCTGCAATTGAGGCATCAAAATGCGAATGTCGTCTCTTGTCGCCGCCACTATCTTCATCGCAGGACCTGCACGGTAAGACGTTAGAGCGCATCGTTTCGTTAGATAACAATGCACGTTCACCGGCGAGAAGCAAATCCTCAGAAAGCCTCAGAATTCTTACCAGTGGCCTTGCAAGATAGCTTGTTCAGCCTCAACTGATAACCTTCGAAGCACGAGCAGGCAAAAGAACCAGGTCGATTGGTGCAATGTTGCGAGCAATCGCCGAGGGTGCACTCGTCGATGTCGGCGCAGCTTCGCTCGTCGGCGGCGAGGGCGTAGCCATGGCGACAGCTGCATACGGATCCGTTGGGCGTCTTGTGGCAGACGTTCTCGCAGTCGCCGCTCGACAAGCACGCGCTATCTACAGACGACGACGACGACGACGACGCGCACGCGATGAGAATGCAGCGAAAGACGAGAAGACGAGAGAAGGGAGCGTACCGCAAGAGCCACCCTCGTCGCTGCCGTCCGCGCAGTTCGGCTCGCCGTCGCAAGCGTTGTCCAGCGATATGCATCGACCGGTCTTGCAGGCGAACTGCTCCCTGCTGCAGTTGGCCGCGGGATGGCTCTCTTCGTGCTCGTGGTGCTGGTGGTCGCAGTCCTCCTCGTCCGAATTGTCGCCGCAGTCGTCGACCTGATCGCACGTCCACTCGCGCGGTAAGCAGCGGCCGTTCGAGCAGCTGAACTGCGAGTCCAGACAGCGCCCGCAGGCTTGCTCGTCGTCGCTCATCGGACAGTCGTCTTTGCCGTCGCACCTGCGAAGCATCGAGCGAAGCTGCAGTCGGCGAGTAGTAACGATCGAGTACGGTCAGACGCGACGCACTTGAGGTTCGAGTGAATGCACTTGGTGCTGCCCTTGCATCGGTACTGGTCGCGAGAGCAGATAAGCGCCTCGACCGCGCAGTCCTCCTCGTCCGAGTTGTCCTCGCAATTGTCCATGCCGTTGCACTTGAGCAGCACGTCGATGCAGCGACCGTTCCGACAGCTGAACATGCCGTTCGCGCAGTCCACCGGCCTGCACGTCTCGTGCTCGTCCGAGCTGTCGCTGCAATCCGGCTGACGAACGATTACTCGATGATTAGTCCGTTCCCGGTCGAAGCGACTCCCCGACGTTGTTTCAAAGACAATACCTGTCCGTCGCACTCCCAATTACGAGGGATACAGTAGCCATTGGCGCACTTGAAGCTGTGATCGTCGCAAGGGTGATCGGCGCAGTCCTCCTCGTCGGAGAAGTCATCGCAATCGTTCTGGCCGTCGCACACGAGGCTCGAGGAGATGCACGTACCATCGCGACACCGGTACTCTGCGGCAGACAGGCAGTGACAAGCGACGCACTGAATGGCTCGTTCTCGAGAGACAATCGGGCTTGCGCTCAATGAGACTCACGCTCGCTGGTGCAACTGTTGCGGCAGTTCTCCTCGTCCGAGTGATCGGCGCACTGGAAGACCGAGTCGCACCTCTCGATTTTCTTGATGCACTGGCCGTTGTGGCAAGCGAACTCGTCGGCTTTGCACGAGGCGTCCAGAGTCGGGCAATTCTCCTCGTCGTCGCCGTCGGGACAGTCGCTCACGCCGTTGCACCTGCGATCGCAAGCAAACCATTTACGTCGGTCTTCACGAGCGTGGCAGCGAGACGCGATTGGACCTACTTCTGCACGTTCGAGATGCATTTGTTGCTGTTCGCGCACTTGGTCTCGCTGGCGGAGCACGAGGTCTTCGGCTTGCACGTTTTCATGTCGGAGTTGACGATGAAGCTCGACGGGCACGCGCACAGCTGAACGGACAAACAGTGTAAATCGCGAGAACGCGAGTCCCCGCGGGGAAGGACGTTTACGAGCAGCATTACCCTGTTCTTGAGGTCGCTCACGAGGCAGACGTGCGAGCAATCGCCGTTGCTCCGACTGCAGGGATGCTGTGGTCCCGTGTACGGGCCGTCGATCGACTGGAGAAGCGACACATCCACGCGCTGGCTAATGTCGGCTAAAGGCAAACAAAATGAAAATGTAGCAAAAACAATCTCTCGGCTGCTCGCGTGTTTGTAACTTGCTGAGGTTGAGTCCTTTGACGCCCGGCGCGACTTGCTTTTTGTCGGTCCAGCTGAGACGGGCGGACCGCCGAGACGTCCAAAAGATGTCGGTGTCGAGCACGGCTATGCTGACGGGTGAAGCGATACCGGTGCGGAACAGCCGTCTATTCTGACCTGCGAGGCACAATTCGGCTCAGCGTTCGCGATGGTTTCTCCGTAGGCAACCGACGCATACCTTGAGCATCCATGCTCTCGATGCGCCCTGTACCCTCGTCGGCCCAGAACACTCTCTTAGTGTCTTTGTCGTAAGCCAAGGATATCTTGGGCCCGAAGAGGCCTTGCTCGACTACGTGAATTCGCGAGCCCAAACCGTTCATCTGAGCGCGATCGATGTGGAACGAGTCGTACAAGCGGAACACCATGAACATCGCCCTGAGCGAAACGACGTCCAAAATCATCAGTCGCCACTGAATTTTCACGAGCAACTTATCAAACTTGAGCTTACCCGTCCTCTGGTATAACGACTATGTCGTAAGGACTCTCGGGATATGAGAATTCAGTCTTTTCGCCGGTATTGAGACTCTGCACCTCGATCTTTCTGTACATAGCGTTGCTCTTGTACAAGTTGTTGCCCAAATAGTCGAAGGCAATGCTCTCGATAACTTCGTCGACGATCGGCATAATGTGATTGACGGTGCTCGACTGGGGATCGTACCGGAAGATCGAGTGCGCCATCTCGTCGGCGGCGATGAGCGTGTCTGAAAGAGAAAGCACAGCATCGGGGGGTTTGACGTATCACGACGACGCGCATCCATCGAACCATCGGCAATTACTTTTGAGCGAATCGTAAGTCATCGCGCTGATGTGATCTGCCGTGACGCTGGAGGTTACTCTGGGCCTGCCGAGCAGCTCGTGATAGTAATTGACGATAGTGCTGCCAGCTGCGATAGCCACGTGTTTCCGCTTAGCCGAGTCTGCGGATAAGATATTCGTTAGCGTTGTGGCAGCGCGCGGCAGAGAGCCGATCGAGCGAACCTCTGCACGTATGGCGGTCCGTGCCCAGCTCTTCGTCCATCGTACAGGCGCACGTGTACGTCTGATTCTCGGCCATGAGACATAACTGCGAGCACGGCTTGGCGATGCACGGATTGGCGTACTGACGAGAAATAAGCGAGTGAGTTTAGTCGAATCAGGATGGCTATAGAGTGTATATAGCGCTGGCTACTCACTTTCACGCTGAAGGTCGAGTGGTAGATGTGAATGCCGTAGAGAGTCTCGTTCTTCTGAACGAGGGTCGTGAAATCCTTGCCGGTGAACTTGTTGCAGGAGTGAATGCTGTTGGTGCTCCAGTCGCTCCAGTACAAGCGATTGCCAAAGATCGCGATCGAGTAGGGATGCTTCGCCACGTCGTGCAAGACCGTCTGCCAAGAGAAGGAAATGGCTCGTCACGTGGGTTCGAGTTGTGGATCGAGTGTGGCTGTCTTACTCGTCTGTTAACGCCGTCGAGATGTATCGACTCGATGACCTTCAGCTTGGCGTCGACCCAGTAGAGACGCTCACTTGGGTAATCGATCGTCAAGCCGTTCGGCCAACCTAATTTGTCCTTGATAAACAATTGCCTCTTGGAGCCATCCATGAACGACACCGCGATGTGCGGGTTGTTACCCCAATCGCTCCAGTACATTTTTCTGTGAGAAAAAGAAGGGCCCATTGGACGCTGTAGATGTGGTAGATAAGCGTGAAGAAACCCACCCTCTCGACGGCATAACGACGATTCCGCGCGGCTTGTCGGCGTCCTCGTTGATCAACACTGTACAGTAGTTGCCGTTGTCGTTGCACACGCCAATGTGCTTGTACATGCTGTCGGTGAAATAGATGTTACCGGTGATCCAGTCGACGGCGATGTCTTCGGGGCAGCCAAGGCCTATGAGCAGAGGAGAGCGTTCGATAACAATTTGTCCGAAAGAGAAACGATGAGATTCGAAGCTCACCCGCCGTGACGATCGCTTCTCGCCTGGTGCCATCGTCGAGGCTGCGAAAAATCCTCTCCTCGCCAAGCTGGATGTCCGACCAGTAAATGTAGTTCGCGTTGAGCGAAACGCCGACGACGTGCTGCAGATTTTCCGCGATAGAGTAGTAGATCGTTGACTCCAGATAGTATCCTCGTATCGAGGTTTTCGTCGCGAAAATCATCAATGCCTCGCCATCTGTGAAAAAGTACGGGTTTTGCCATTGTCCGGTCGGACGCTCGGTTCACATACTAAAGAACGTGCAATAGATTTATTGACTCGGAGGATGCTGCGTTATCAATAGATAAAGTGAAAGCCGTCGTACGGCGGATGTGAAAAGTTTGTTCGCGATAGTTCGCTGCCACATCGACTCTTTTGTTATAGTGAGCGCAAAAATAGTATTTAAAAGAGACGCGACGATAAATTCGTCGATGCCCTTAGGGACAAAGTGCGCGAATAGCGAGTAAGCGGTTGATGAGTCTTCTGCCAAATGTTGACGACTATCAACGCAATTTCATCAGCGTAGACAAGAGAAAACCATCGTCGGTCATTACTGTCAGGTTTGCAGCTATGCCCATCGGATTGCAGTGTGTATCCAATTTCGCAGTGGCAATAATAAGAGCCCAAATTGTTGACGCACGTCTGGTCGCACAGTCCCCACTCGTCGCACTCGTCCATGTCTGAAAGCACAATTTTCGTTTTCTTTACAACGGCCTGGCGCGAACTCGTTGAGTTACCTCTGCGCGCCGTATCCGCGGCAAGTGCTAGCGAGACAAGTAAACCAACCCAGTGACAGACGATTAAAGTAACAGCTCTCATGATGGTGCGAGTTTCGCGAGCCAACTGATGACAAAGCGCCAGCGTCTGCGGCTCTCGCGCGCGATAACGTATATTATTACGTAGTTAAAGGGGGAGGGTAACGCTATAGCTTCCACCACTAATGTTTCATTTTTGTTCAATTGCGTCGGCCTGTTTTCCACCGAATAACGATTTTAATGGAACACTTGTCAAATTAGTATTTACATTCAAATCGATTGAAAAAAGGTCTTGCTAAGGTTGAACAACTAGTATAGAAAGTACTTTAGAAACTTATTTCTTTTTCTTAAGATTGATTTCCTGTTAGAAATGTTGTTCGGAAAAAAATTGGAGTTTCATCAAGTATCGTATTTACAACAAATTTGTATGTCCTCCAATGAACTATAAAAATTGAAGCATCCACCACTCTATGTAAATTCAAAATAAAAAAAATAAAAAACCGGTAAACCCAATTCTCGCGACAAAAAGTGTACGGTTCAGGAAAGGGATGCGAATAGAACGTGAAAAGCAAAATTACCTTGACAGGTGTGGTTTTTCAAAATGTAACCGGTATCACATGCGCACTGATAGCCTTTCGGAGTAGGTCTACACTTTGACGAACAAGGCGACGATTTACAAGACTCTTGGGCTGCAAAATCAAGATGAAATAAGCACGTCGTACTGCACAGGACAGCAAACAAAATGATATGTTAACCTCTTTGACAGTCAGCCGGGTCCTCGTCCGACTGATCGCCGCAGTTGTTGATATTGTTGCAAGCCAACGCCAAGTCGATGCACCTATGGTTGGCGCACAAGTACTTGTCAATGGTGTTGTTGCAGTTGGCTGGCGGGATAGCGTTCTGCTTAACTGCTCGACAAACGCGCGCGTTTAATCGCCAATTACAAGCAATGTGTAGTCGCGAGGGTCAATGGGGTATAATCGAAAGTGTACGTACAGCTGCAATTCAGCTCGTCGGAGCCGTCACGACAATCTGCCGTGCTGTCGCACGCCCAGCTCTGAAGGATACACTCGCCGCTCTTGCATTGGAAGCCGTTGCAGGTTTTCTGCAAAGGAACAACGAAAATCGATGTTTTCGCGCAAGGAATGCCTAGAAACGAGCAGCTCGGTAGTTTCGATCGAAACTCACGTTCACGTGGCAGTCGTCCGCCTCGTCGCTGCCGTCGATGCAGTCCTTTTTGCCATCGCAGTACTCGTCCTCCGGGATGCAGTGGAACCGATCAGAGCACTGGAACTCGTGCTCCTTGCACGCGTCGGCGAACGACTGCAATCGAGTGCACACGCGAGTTGAGCGAAAAAATGTCCAAGGACGTCGATGTTCGCGCGATGCTTACCGGTAGTTTCTGGGGGCATTGTTCGCGAAGCTCGTCCGAATTGTCGCCGCAGTCGTCTTCGCCATCGCAAACGAACACGTGAGAAATGCACTTCTCCGTATTAGGACACTTGAAGAAGAGTGGTGGTATACATTTTGAATCTGGAAATTATCAAACGAACGCGATTACGGCTCTTGTGCTTCTTTTGGCTTCCTAATATCCCGACTGATTTTCTCGATTGTCAGCCAAGTGGCCAAGGTTCAAGAAGAAAATTATTTAACGAAAATCGGTAGTGGTTCCGACAATAAACCGACGAATAAATAAAAGTAGCTCATTGCGTGGATTTAAATATCGCGAGTGATGGTCAGCCCAGATTATAGTTATTAGATATCCCGCGTAGACATTCCAAATAATCAGGAAGACTAAGAGCTAGAGCAGCCCATCGTCAATACAGCGTGAGCTACCTGGTATATCAACAAAAGCGTTCACGGCAATCGCAACTATACACACACACACACACACACACACACACAATTATCAAAGTTTGGAAAACTCACCGTCCGTCGTAGCGACAAAGCAAAGTCCAACCAAGAGGATCGTCGCGAGCAATTGCCACTGCATGATACAATCTATCGGCGGCAGAGGATCGGAAAAAAGAAAAGAAGCAAGCACGATAATGCGCCTGCCAGCTGATCGCGGAAATTTTTTCGGGAGCGGAAAATTAGGCGTGCGATCAGTTGCGCGCGCGCGCGTATGCGTGTGCTCTTCCTGTCACGAGCGTGCACGAAGATAGTGCGAGTCTGTGCTACGAGCGTTCGGTAGGGAACTACTTCTCTCTCTCTCTCTCTCTCTCTCTCTCTATCTATCTCTCTCACTTAATCTCTCATGAAGCGAGGGTTAATGACACCCGACGCGAAGCTTACGCTGCGCGATAGATTCATTCAGTCTTTTGTTTGACGATGTAACTATATCGTGGCGAGGATTTTAATACGACTCGAGAGACGCGTCGTAGCTTCGGAGAGTCGTAGATTTCGCGACGAACGCGCGCACGGGTTCGAATCGACAGCGCCGAGAGAAACGCTCTTAACGAAACGGGTAATGACGGGAGAGAGAGAGAGAGAGAGAGATGCAGGAAATTACATTTTCGGGGCCCGCACTTTTGATCAATTGACCGCATATAGCTACTCACGGAAGTCGTCTCGTCTCGAGCCCTGGTACGTACGTGGTCGAGCTCGAGGTTTTCTCTTTTTTTTTCGTAGGCTTTTTCAGCCAAAGATTTATCAGTCGCGGGAACCGTCGCGCGCGCAGCGTTCCCCCTTCTCACTATAGATTAGTGCACACTGGACGGATAAATAAATGCACTTAAACAATTTAAGCTCGCTCCTCGGACTGCACAACGCTCACGAGAGAGCTAGACGCGCGAGTGTGTTTGTGTGTTTGCGACGACGACGACGAGCAGGTCCGGTGTTTTGATTTGGCCGGCCGGAATTTTGAGTTGCCGCGCGTGCCACGCCGAATTGCGGGTGCGACTTGCCGAAAATCGGACGCTCGGCCGTTCTCGAGCAGCTCGCCGGGCAAGTTTCGCGAGCGCAAAATAAAGCACCTAGCACATACTTACTCGGCGTTGGTCCAACCTCGCGATCGCACTCACACTTTCCCCGACGCTGCGCGCGCGTGTCTCTCCCGAGGCAGTTACCGTCTCGCGTCTCACACGGCGAATATACGGGCGACGGAGGGCGCCGAGCTGTGCTCGCACAGGTGTTGACGAGCCGCGCGCGGAAACTCGAATGCGAAAGCTGCGTCGCTGGTATAAGCACACGGCCGGCCGGCCGGCGTGTGACGTGTTTTGCGCGAGCACACGGGCTATGCGTGAATACGCGTGTGGAAAATTTTTGGGCGAGAAGCGAGAGGAAACTGTGTTTGTATCAATGCCTTTGGCGAGCGATGTCAATGTTGCTCGGTGCGTATATTCGTTTGCGATCGCGTGATATATGAGGGACCGGTCAGCAATCGAGTCTTTTTCATAGACTATCTTGCGTTATCTGCTGGACGCAACAAATTGGCGGTTCTTGTTCTTTCAAGATAAATATTATCGAGCATGCCAACGATAAAACGTCATTAATTAAATGTGTTTTCTCGCTGGTGAGGTACTGTCACGAGTCTACGGAAAAGCAATGAATTAGAAGATAAAAAAAACAATTTTATTACGTAATTTGACCGATTACACGTTCACGCTCACCGCGTCAAATGTTTATCGATGAATCGACGTTCACTGCTTCTACAATGGCTTTACTTGACCAAGGTTCATCTATAAGTTACCATTTCGATACGTACAACTGTTAAACCTGCTTAAGTAGAGTACACAAACATTCCTCGTACTCTTCTACGTCACTGATATCAATCACAACGCGAACTGTCGTTTCAATCGCGAGTTATTAGCCGTCGGCCAACTTACCCCGTCGACCAACCTGCCCCGGTCTCCCTTATGAATTTTTTTGCAATGAATCTCTTTGCAGCCATTGATTTCGTTGCACATCTATCACTACAACAAGTCGGTTAGGAAAGTGATAGTCATTCGTTACAAGAAAATATATACCTTCGCTGCTTCTCGATGCATTTGCCATTTTGAGACTGCAAAGTCAACATCAAATAAGCATATCGCACTGTACAAAACAGCAAACGAAATGGTATGTGCTCACCATTTCGACACTCGGTCGCGTTCTCGTCCAACTGATTGCCGCAGTTGTCGAAATTGTTGCAAACCAACGCCAAATCGATGCACCTATGATTGTCACTGGTGTTGCAGTTAGCTGGCGGGGTAGCGTTCTGCTTTACTGCTCGACAAACGCGTGCGTTTAATCATCAATTATAAACAATACGTGTTCGGGAGGGTTAATGAGGTATAATCGAATGTGTACGTACAGCTGCAATCTAGCTCGTCGGAGCCGTTGCGACAATCTCTCGTGCTGTCGCATACGCAGCTCTGAAGGATACACTCGCCACTTGTGTATTTGTAGCCGTAGCAGGTTTTCTGCAAAGGAACAACGAAAATCGATGTTTTCGCGCAAGGAATGCCTCTGCCGTCGATTCAGTCTTTTTTGACATCGCAGTACTCGTCCCCTGGGATGCAGGGAAACCGATCGACGCAGTGGAGGCGAGTTGGGCGGAAAGATGCTCGAGGACGTTGTATCGACATTTGTTAATTTCTTCAAACATTGTTGGTGGATCTCATCCAAATTGTCACCGCAGTTCTCACCATCAGAGACGAAGATGTGATAAATACACTTGCTCGTAATATGACACCCAAAGTAGAATGTTGGTGTGTATTTTGAATCGGAAATTTATTTCCGTTTATCCTGTTCGTATGAATAGTACATTATGATACAAGTGCGGAAAAATAGATTCTTGTCTCGTGTGGCGTTTACGCTCGAGCGATCCGAGGGTGGAAAGGTACGGGAGACGAGAAACTCTTTCCCAAACATGTGCCGTACCGTATTTTTTGATACGACGTGCGGAAAGTGCGATTTTCAACGCACGTTTTTTGCCGAGCGTGCGGGAAAAACGCACTTTCCGCACGGAGTGTCGAAAAGAAATGAACGAGTTCCGTTGCTCTGGATACTTTCGATTTCAAATATTGATAGCTTTTATTGAAATGGCAAAATGAAAATTAAAAACGTTTATTGATCTAAATATTAATAATAAAAATATTACTATGCATCACTACTAATGTTGCTGATCGTATGTTACATATAAATATTAACAGCATCTGCTACGTCTGCATTATTTATTGCATTGTTGTAGAAAAGCGGCTCTATAACGTCGTGGTTACAAAAATTATGTCTATTAATATTAATAGTAGTTCGGAACATCGAAATCTTTTAGCAGTCGATTGCAAACTAAAATTAAGAAAATTAGAATTGAGCCGTAAATGTAAAAGAATTCAAATAAATTATGTAGTTTTGTGAATTGAAGATTACGCAGTAGTTTTGCACTTACATAATTTTAGGTAAAAAAGAAAAGTATGAAAAATATATATACTGAAAATTTACCACCGGTATAATAATTACACTATAGACTCTAGGTGCTAGTACACGCCTGAGTAATAATTTTGTCAAGGCGGTTCTCTCAAGACTGACCGTGCTGGGGATAAACGCTTCTTCTTCGTCTACTGGTTGTCAACGCGAAATCAGCAATTTAGACCCCGAGTGCCGAATCAACAAAACATGATTTTTACGTTTCTATTGTCATCTTGATCTGGAAGATGTTCGATTCCTTGCAAGATTTTGAAAATGACGACGTGCTCACGATGAATTTTGAAAAAGTTTTATCGTGTATAATAAAAATGAATATAGCTGAATGGTATAAGCCGAAGGGTAAAAAGCTCACGACCATTTCATCAACTTTGTGCTTCTTCTGGACTTTAATATTATTCCAGTTCGTCTGACAAAAAAGTGACGAAGCAACAAAAATCCTATTTTCAAAAACTGAAATTTTGAAAATCATTATGATCTTATTGCTCTTTACGGTTATTTAAACGTTCTTAGAGAGGAATCTCCATATAATTTTGCTTCTATATTTGTACAATCGTATAAGTTATACGCGTGTAATACAGCTTGGGTATATTGGATGAAAATTGCATTAAAAAACCGAATCTCAATTTTCAAAGAAAAAAAAAGAATTCAGTTTATTTAAATCGGAATTTCATAATTTCAAAATATACTGAATAAAATTCTGCGACTTCTAAAATATTAGCAAAAACTAATCTATAGGTATAATATAGTTCCGTAGCTTCTTTTACGGTATTTTTGATTCGAAATAAGAAAGCATATTACGTAAATTATTCTTAGATGAAATGTCTCCATTTGTTCGACACCTAGTTTTGAGAGTATGAGGGTTTTCAACAATTCAAATATTTTCCACTGTATTATTAAGATTTTTTTGAGTAGCGTAAATATTTAAATAGATTTGTATTGTACGGATATCCTTTAAATTGTGTTTCTAGGTCCATTGTTTTGTTTCGAGATTGAAAATTTTGAAAATTCATTCAAGCAACAAATATTTCAACATCTTTGAAATATACCGATAGAAGAAAGGTGGTATTATTTTTTAATAAAAATCGTGAATTCTGTAACCGGCTTTTGGAAGCTCATCCTCGCGAACAGGTCAGAGTAGAGTGCAGTATATATAATTGACAGGCGTGCGGCGTTACGAGCCAAAATAAAAACAAACGAACGTGCGGAGTTGCCTCGCGAGAGAGATGCAAGTAGCGAACTTGACAGAAGTGCCTTGATTTCTGGATCGGTGGTTGATCGGCAAAGTTACCTGCGTAAAATTCAAAAAATGCCTCGTTGTTTGATCAAGTGCATGATGCGTTACGGACAGAATGAAAGGTCTGACGATGGTAAGTACAGGCGCTGAATTAATCTACTTTTAGACTGTCTTGTGAATGAGTAGCTCTTTTTTTTCATACTTTATCTCGTTTATTTTTACGGTGCTTTGGTATTTTTTCTGTTGCCAACATGTAACGTAATTTTTTTATTTATTTCTGTAAAGCTACGTTTTAATTTATAAGTATTTTTATATTAAACGATTTTTATCATTGACCTGTTTTTCTTCTGTAACAAGTTCAACTGTATACTGAATTATTCTGATTTACTTTTTATAAATATTACCTGTTTGTGACAGATTCAGATTCACCTGTGCACAAAACACCAACTACAAAAGAGCCTAAAAGAAAGAAAAGAAAATACAAAGACAATTTTGGAAAATTGGATAACATTTGGTCATGGTCACATCTACCCATTGTAACAAGATACAACTTTCAGAGAAATGAGAACATCATGTGGAATCCAAGTTCATCTAGAAATATTGACATCTTTCTCAACAACACTCAAGAAAACAAAGAAAATATGTCTCCCAGCAACTGTACAAATCAACCCATTAATCATAATGATATCACTAATATCAGATCTTCAGAAGTGTCAAAGTTGTTACAACTGAAAGAGAATCAGCCAGCAGTTCCTCAAAGTCTAGAACAAAATAAAATTGATTTTGCTAATCCAAAAAATACACAGATGCAGATGCAGAATTTCATGTCTATAATTTATTCACCAACCAATGTCAATGAGAATAAAACTATCAACATTTGTAAAAGGGACAAAAGTAGTTCTGCATCTGAAGGAACACCTAATCCAAAACGCAGTAAGACTATGCACTTTTGTCCTTATTGCAATAAAAGCTTTGATCGCCCATGGGTTTTAAAAGGGCACCTTCGACTTCATACTGGGGAACGACCGTTTGGTTGTCCAGTTTGTAACAAATCTTTTGCTGATCGGTGAATCAAATTTCTCATTAATTTCATTAATAAATGAAAAACTTGAATCAATTTGCTACCTTACATTTTACAGATCCAATTTGAGAGCACATCAAAGAACCAGAAACCACCATGAATGGCAATGGAAATGCGAAATTTGCTTGAAAGCTTTCTCTCAGAGACGCTACTTAGAACGTCATTGCCCAGAAGCTTGCCGTAAATACAGAATGTCTCAGAAGAAAGATTAATATTCAGTCTTTCACATAATTGTGTTCTAATTTTCAGTTATTTATTTAGATTGATTAGTTAAAACTGATCTATTTTTATTTAAGTTTCATGCAGTATAAATAAATTTTGCTGCATTTGTTCATAAATGATAACATAAAATGTAAAAATCTGTAATAAAATCATGTTATTGCTGCCTACACCTGCACTTGCAAAAAGAGCTTAATATTTCAGTATTAATTCTGTTTTAGATAGATAATTTTACAATTTATAAATAGATAAATACAATTTTTTATTATATACACAATATTTGCATTACTCATATCATGATTCAAAATCCTTTTATTTTCGCGCCTTACTTTAAATCTACATTTCACTTGCAGAATCTTCAACTTATTTATTTTTTTGAACCACCATAATTAAGTTAAGTTAAATTGTAATTCTTTTTTCCCGTTCACTAATTCTTAAAAATATTATACTTGACCATTTTCCATTTTTTTTTCGATGAATAAAATGAACTGCATTCGACTTTCGTTTAATTTACTTCCATAAAAAACTTCAGCAATGTAAAGTTAATTTCGCATGTACATACATCAAAATTGCACCAACAATCATCTTGCATACTCTATCAAGATGATTAGACATCGATGATAAAACGCACTAAATCATATAATCACCTCGTCGTAGCCGCCACGGAAAACAAAGAAAACAAACAGTAAAACGTAAGCCAATCATGATTGTGCATCTATACCCCCTTGTTACTCCCAACCAATGAATAAAATTCGTCCGATTCGACGTCTATCAAACACAGATCACAGGACTGTTTCTTGATCGTCAATCTTGGAATTTCGTGTTAAATCGTTTATTACTTTACCTCGTAAAATCTTATTGAAAAGTTTCAATAACGTTTCTCCAATAGTTATGAAATAATTATGATTATATGAACATTACTAGAAATAAATAAATATATACACGAGAAAAATCGACGTTTAGAAACTCCAAAAAACTGCTCCAAAGCGCTTATAGCTGACTACTGACGGTCACCTAACGTCTGTGCGCTTGTGTTTGTACTATATTGCGCATGATGTGGATGCTGTAGCTGTACTATTCTACGTATGTGTGTATGCGCAAAGCATTATAGAAACATATTATCGGCTTCACATAGGCTAGCTGCTTGTGCCGCGTCACTCTGGGCATATGCGTGTATCACGGATGACCACATCCTCTCTGTTAAAACTTGTTAAAAACGAAGGCCGTTGAAATTAAATAGCAGATATCAATAGAGGTACGTTTACAATAAGAGATATTTGATAGCGCGCAAATTTCTCTGGCTTTCCCTCTTCTTCGCGTAATTACGTACGGAACGACGACGACGACGCCGAAGAAGGAGAGGGGAGAGTGAGAGAGCGAGAGGGGCCGCTGATATTGGGGGACGGCCATTTTGCCGTGGGCGCTCGAGCTGTGAGTAGTGGCAGCACCCTAGCACTTTCTCTCGTCTCCCGGGGACCTGGCATTTATATTCCAAGGTAAGCCATTATATCTATTTTATTTTGTCCGCCTTGACTCTTCTCTAATCGTCCAAGATGGCTTTTTGAAGCTTGTTCGCGAACGTTCGATTCTCATTTGCTGGGTTCTGTGAAAGGGACGCGCGTTGTGCTTCCATTCGTTTTTTTTTCTTTCTCTTGCTGCGCGGCGACCGTTATTTTGGCGGCGCACACCGGTTCTCTGTTCTCCTTTTTTCTTTACAAAGCCAGGTGCGTGAGTTCGCAAATCTTCAATCTGATCTGATGATGAAATTCACCGTCATGTGTGGTTAATTATGTAAGTATAGAAGGTATTTGGTTTAACCTAGCCCTTACGGCGTATTCATCATGAGCTTTGCGTAGTTCAATAATTACAAGGAATTTACAAGGTTTCACGAAAGTTATGTGTTGTGCGATAATCATAAGGGCATACGTTTGGCTTTAGCCTACGTGTATCTTTCTTGTTTACGCTGTCGATGTAAACAGAAAAGATGCCCAGCTAATACAGAGGCTCAAAGTCGACGGGGACGCTGACTTTATTATTCTCGAACCGTTTTCCTCGCAATTAAGGTTCTTCAACTTCACACTTGCTCGAATAAAATTTTCCATTTTCATCGAATTTAAATTTTGCATTTTATTTGTTTATTTTGATGATGAGATTTCACATTTAATGTTTAGTCATTTCAATCGCTCATTTTTTTCTTGAACACTCAAATTACGTTAGTTAATGTATTACATTAATTTTAAAGCAGTTTAATCAATCATTTTAAGTCAAATGGAATAGTTAAAATGATTATATTTTCTAGTTCTGAAAGAAATTTGTATTATTTCAAAATTTAGCTTAATAGTAATTAAGTATTTTTGTTAGTTTTCCTTAGATGTTATCTCAAATTTTTTGTAGTCATTGTGGGAATAAAAGTTATTGTTTTTGCTATACTGAATTTCATTTGTACTTATAAATAAATTTTGTTTGTTTACAGATATTAAAAATATTGTATCTGCTTGAAAATGATGACTGAATCACATATGAACTCTAACCATGTGTTGAATTCTGCTCTGAGTCTAAAGCCAGATCTAGAAAAAATGGATGATGTTGGTTGGAAAGCTAAGCTCAATATCCCACCAAAGGACAGACGCATCAAAACAAGTGTAAGAATTTTTAATATTATAAACTATTTTTAATATCTCTAAATGAATCCTCAATATTAAATAAACTAAATTTTGTAAATAAAGTGTATCTTTTCACAATATTTGACATGAATCATGTTCTTATTTTTTTTACAGGATGTCACAGACACTCGAGGAAACGAGTTTGAAGAGTTCTGTCTGAAACGTGAGCTTCTTATGGGAATCTTTGAAAAAGGTTGGGAGAAGCCTTCACCTATCCAGGAGGCTAGTATTCCAATCGCACTATCCGGCAAAGACATTTTGGCACGTGCCAAAAATGGAACAGGAAAAACTGGTGCATACTCGATTCCTGTTCTAGAACAGGTTTGTACAATAAATTAATAAATTTGGAATTTTTTGTGTTAGATTTGATTCTAAATTTTTTAAACAATTTCTTTTTTGTTTTGATTATAGGTTGATCCCAGCAAAGACGTTATTCAAGCATTGATTATTGTGCCTACCAGAGAGTTGGCACTTCAGACGTCACAAATTCTGAGGGAGCTGGCAAAGCACATGGATATTCAAGTTATGGTTACCACTGGTGGTACTAACTTGCGCGATGATATCATGAGGATTTATCAAAAAGGTAAAACAAAAATTTTTTTTATTGTAGTCTGCAGTGTTAATGATATTAAATGTGTTTATTTGATTAATAATTTTACTTGATACTGAAAGAATCATAAATTAATTTTATATCTTATTTTTGTTCTCAAATTTAAATCACTTAGTCAATTAATCCTATAGTGTAATCTATACAAAGTAGTTATGTTTCTTAATTATTTCAATAAAAATAACACCATTAACATTTTGAAAAAATTTATATTCATTGAAAATATTTGATGTTTTAGTGCAAGTTATAATCGCTACACCTGGCAGAATTCTCGATCTCATGGATAAACAAGTTGCCAACATGGACCATTGCAAAATTTTGGTTTTGGATGAGGCTGACAAGCTTCTTTCTCAAGATTTTAAAGGAATGCTAGATCATGTCATTTCCAGGTAATGATTTATATGTTGTCGAACCTATTGATAATCATATCTAAACTTTTGGAATAATATTTCGATAATATAATGCTTTTTTAGATTACCAAAAGAACGTCAAATTTTGCTGTACTCAGCAACTTTCCCTTTGACGGTAAAACAATTCATGGAAAAGCACTTAAGAGATCCCTATGAAATTAATTTGATGGAAGAGCTTACCTTGAAAGGTGTGACGCAATACTATGCTTTTGTGCAAGAACGTCAGAAAGTCCATTGTCTTAACACGCTATTCTCGAAGGTAATAATATTTTTTATTTAAAAAAATGATATTTAATTTAATTGATAATTTCATGTAACCAATTAGATTATATTAAATTCCTTTTAATCAATTTCAATTAATTTAATCTTGTTCAAGTTACAAATCAATCAGAGCATTATCTTCTGCAACACAACGCAGCGCGTTGAGTTACTAGCAAAGAAAATAACAGATTTGGGCTACTGCTGTTACTATATTCATGCCAAAATGGCCCAAGCACATAGAAATCGCGTGTTTCACGACTTCCGCGCTGGACTTTGCCGAAATTTGGTAAGTTTATTTTCTTAATTATTAATGAAATATTTCAATTAAAATTCTTAATAATTGATCATTAAAATTTTTTTATTATTCTTATAGATTTATATACTTTTTTTCAATTGTTTATAATGTATCTCGAAACAACAAATAATACTTTATTAAGTGAATTCAATTACTAGGGTATCATGAATTTGAATTTAATTTATATTTTGTTTGTCTATTTTTCAGGTTTGCAGTGATCTATTCACTCGAGGTATTGACGTTCAAGCAGTAAACGTTGTGATCAATTTCGACTTTCCTAAGATGGCAGAAACATATTTGCATCGTATTGGCCGTTCTGGAAGATTTGGTCATTTGGGTATCGCTATCAATTTAATCACATACGAAGATCGCTTCAACCTTCACCGTATTGAGCAAGAGCTTGGTACTGAGATCAAGCCCATCCCCAAGGTGATCGATCCTAGTCTGTATGTGGCGAGACCAGACGACAATAATAGTTTGGAGGAGAGCAATGTGTCCAAGTAGTTCCATAATCACAATTGAGGATCATAATCGCTCAAAGCAATGGAAAAAGTGTGTCATGTGATCGTGACTTATGGAAACTGAATGAAAAACAAATTGCAGGTGTGCGCATAATGATTGGCGTGCTCTGGACTTATTTGAAGTGAAAATATAAGAAAAAAAGTTTTGTGCTACTTAAATCTGAGGAATAGTCGAAAAAAAAAATTGATTGAAAAAAATACGTGTTTTGAGAAGTGAATGATGATAAAAAACATAACAAACCATTTCAAAGACAATGTCAGTGCTACAAAATAAAATATAAACTGTTTGAGTAGGCAATTTTGCGTAAAAAACAAAATGCAAAATCATGGAGAACAATTATAGTCATAATAAGCAAAGAAAGAGTTACTTGTAAATAAGGTATTACTGAGCATGAAAATAATCATTCGCTTTGCACTTGGTAAACTCAGTGATTGAAGAAGTGATTGGAGTGCCAGTGCGAGTCATTCTTTGTATATACTACATTTAAATGTACATAATACTATTGTAGCGCACAGTCAAGCCATTGTTAAGCAAATAAACAAATACGAGAAGTGTGTATCGTAACGGCATACGAACATGAGAGTAAAACAACATTGATCACAAGTATGGTTATCACTAAGTGTAAGTATCATGTGTCTGAGAGTATCTTGCGTCATTTTAACATAAATTTTTATACATTCACACATAAAACGAGAACACAACTGTTGATTTTTATGTTTATAAATGAGTGATAAATTTCGAGAAAAAGTGTGTGAAAGTGAGAGATTGAACGATCAATTGTCAATAAGTAATGTCAATCTACACATCTGTCATACTTCGCTCTACGATCTAACATAAATGAAAAAAATTAAATACAGTATAACTCTTAAAATGAAAGAAAGGTAAGAAATTATCCGTACGATATATTGTAGAACAACAGTGGCTTGACTTTGCTAGCTTTACTACTGTCAACGCAACTCTGAAATTCAATCGGTTTGCCACACTTTCTAACGCGTGAATTCACAAAATGCTAAGTACAAGTATTATACAATTATTTTTTGCTTTCTACTGGGAAACACCAAAGTTCTTGGTTGTTTTCGTTTTTCATATATACATTTTTTTTAATTCAGATGAAAAGTAAAATAAACAGAACAATCGGTTTTTACCATACTGTGATTGAACGTCAGAGATTGTAAAATTGACTAGTTTTATACAATTATTTTTATAATGTAAACTATGGCTGGTGGACAATAACTAATTCTTCTAATTTTCCTCGCGCGCCTATCGAGAGGCTCTACGTGTTCACTTGCACATTCGTATATTTATACATGATAACGCGAAGAATGAAAAAAATTTCATCGCGATTCGTACTTTTTATCAGTGTAAGAGTTACGTACGTTCGCGGCTCCGTATACAACGTTAAAGTATACGCTGAAAATTCGACATGAGGTGGGGGGTTAAGAACGAGTACTGCAGAAAAAGTAAATAATAAACTCGTCGAGATTGTAAATTCACGCGACTTGAGAATTCTTAGCAACTAATCGTTGTTTTGTAAAATAATACAAATTATTTGTAGTAAAGCGACTGGAGAGCGATCGACGACTCGGAACGATAAGTTACCGTTCGTAGAGAGGAAAAAACAAACATTTGAACTCTACATCTGTCTTTCAATTTACGTTGGCCTCGTGCCAAAAATATTTTAAGCCGATACCTTCTTTTTTTTTTCGATCGTTTTGAGGGGCAAGGTACAAAAAATTTTTACGCGAGATTAACCAACGCGACAACACGAGCGCGTACAGATTTACAGACTCGACGATGGTAAGAAAACTTTTCCCTGATAAAAGTCGACGTTCATCCACGCGTAAAGCCTCTCGAATTCGATTCATTGTAAAAAGAAAACAAGTAAAGAAAACGAATTCCAACCCGGAGATAAATTGTTTGCCTTCCTGAGTCGTGTGAACGAACCAACCACAATACACGCACTTGTGGAAAAAATTGCAAGAGCCACCAGCCAAAGATGACCTAGATTTACGAGAGAAAGAAAGAGAGGGAAACGAAGGGGAAAAAACCGACAACAATCTTCTCTTAATCGTTTTTCTTGGTTTCATTCGTTTTTCCGTCCCGCGGGGACGTACTGTTCTTTCCTACGATTGTAAGCGCCAGAAGACCCACCTCGCGACGCCTCCGTATACTACAATTGAAAAAAGTAAGGGAGGGGACAAAAAAACAAACACACATACACACATACACGTGTCAATGAGGAGCGTGTCGATGGATTGAGCGACGAAGCACAAAGATGAAAATTAATAAAAGTCGGCACGCGTGATCAATTTATCTTGTAAATATATACAATATTCTATGACACTACACTAACACACACGTACACGAAAACACACTTTCCGTCAAGATTTTTGACTGGAGCAAAGACTGTATAATATATATATGTATAATATAAATGAAAAAAAAACACGAACGATTGAAAAAGAAGAGGCGTCGCGAGGGGTTTGCATTGGGCGCGAGAGTTCGATTTAATCATACGCAATCTGGCGCCTCCGCGAAACGAACGCGGATTATTCCTATGTATGCGCCGATTGAAAGAGGTAAGAGAAAAAGATTTTGTATAACGAGCGCGAACGAGCATCAGAAAAAATTACCGAGACGCTCACCTTTTGTACGAAGCGAACACCACGAGACGATATAACGGCGTCTCTTACCTTTTATGTTTTGCTTTTTTTTCTTCTGCGAAATAATTTGTCATCGTCGTCGTCATCGCTGTTTTTGTTGTTGTTTCTCCCAAAAGCAAGACCCGACCAAAGTCTCGATGGTCTGCAAAGAAAAAAATACAGAAACTTCACTCAGCGACGAAGACGACGACGACGATAAAATGTTTCAAATACGAGAGTAACTGACTCTCAGGGATTGTATTGCCGAGGTACACGGCACAGATTGGTATTACGTACAATAATGGTTAACATCGGAAATGCAAATACGGGATCTCGTGCGACATCCGAGGGGATCCCTGTAGTCTGTAGGCCACGTCGTACGAGTGGAACAACTTTTTGTGTCGTACGCGCGGAAGAGTGAATACGAGATTTGCAGTTTTGAAGTTAAATGATTGTAATACGTGTGTAAATTGACTTAATCTGTGGATTAATGAGTGAGGTACTCGAGGTTCACTCTTTTGTGTTATTTTATGAAAAATACCAGCGAGAACGTTGGAGGTGCGTGTCTAGAGTACAGTATCTTGTTGTTGAAATTTGAAGTATTCGTACTTCAGGTTATGCTATAAGTTTGTTGAAAATCTGATAGAGTGAGAATACCCTAGACGCGACTGATGGCGTTTTGTGTGTTTGGTTGAGCAAATTGAAAAAAAAAAAAAAAAGAAAAAAAAAATTAAAAACAATTCCGGTACTATTACAAAATTTAAACTGCCGGCAGTTATCTTATGTGTAATTCGATCGGGCAAACATTATAGAAATTCACCTCTGAAATTAGTTACATCAAATCAATAAATAAATGGAAAATTCATGCGTGATTCAAGTTTTGTTAAGCCGCGCTTCAAGATTTTATTACGATATTTCAAAATCATCTGGATATTCGCCCAAAGAATTTTAAAATTGCAATAAGTCTCGGAACAAAACATTCTTTCATGTATATCGCGCAAAAGATTGTACAATCACAACGAATTTTTTTTTTTGAATCGCTAAAACAAAATAATGTTAACTCTAAATCAACAAACTTTTCATGAATCTCGCGAATGAGCAAAAATTTATATTTTATTAGAAAGCCTGCGTCTCAGCTTAGAAAAATTTCATTTTTGAAACAATGTATTTCGAACAACGTTTTCTTCGGAATAATAAGTAATTCGGAATTTTTACTTTTAAAATGAAATTGCTATTTTTACTGACGCAGATAATGCAGTATAAAAAGTTTATAAAATTGCATTTCTATCGGAAAATTGTAAAAAAAAAACGTTAGGACTAAAATTCAATGTTTTGTCAATCATAATTTTACAACATTGTGCAGACGAACTCTGTCGTCACTTTTTTCTGCAAAACGAAACCAGAAAAATCTCCAAACAAATAATTAGCAACATTTAATATTTGATTTAGTTTTTGCGTCGAGTCATTTTTTTTGCGTTGACAGAGTTCGTCTAATAAATATCAAACTTCAAACTTATTTGTCAAAATTTTAAGACGGAGATAGAAGGCTTTCGTTTCTTCAATAAAAAAAAAAACAATCTGAACACCTCAAATTTACAAGTGGCACTACTTATTTCTCCATGTACTTCTTTTAATATAAAAAAAATCTTTTTGCAGTTACTTAATTTTCAATGGCTTATTACTTTGTAATGTAGTCAGAAAGTAAGATTTTTTTTTATAAAATGTATTTCCTCATTTTTTAATGTTCAAGTGTCAAGAGAGGTAAAATGAAATGTTTGGAAACTCCATGAGTTCTTTGGCATCTATCAATAATAGTCAAATCTCCTAGCAGTGACTAGATAAAGAACAAGTAAGACTGAATTTAAACATTCTGGAAAATTTCAAGGTGAATATTGATGATACTATTTCATTCACGAATCCAAGCAACATCGCGTCCGCCGTTTCGTTAAAAAAAAGGAAAAGAATCGGCAAGTCGCGTGTACGACCCATTAATACACCTCATGCTCGCGATAAAAAAAGGTGGGAGGAAGAATGTCGAAAACGTAGGTTGCATGCGAGTGAAGTACGCGCGGCAGTGAGTTGGCTACGGACGTATAGGTATAGAGCGAGGTAGCAAATTTATCGTCGAGCGCGACACAGAAAACTCGTCGTTAACCCAGAGGGTCATTAATAAAACCTCTCCCGCTAAAACCTCTTCGGAACGATATTCGCTACTCCCCCCCCCCCCCCCGAAAGTAAAGGCTTCACCTGTCTTTCTCCTTTCTTTACTTCCCTTATTCCGGCATTGAGATATGCTGTCCAAGATTTTCGCTAATCGATATTCGCCTACACGCGTTCCTGAGGTTCTTTGTGCCTTTTGCCTAGATTTTCAAATGAGATTGTACCAATAGCTTTCTTTTTAATTATTGTTGTCACAGTTGTTTGCATATATACGCACACACACACACACATAAATTCTACTGTTTTTCGCCGTTATATACAAATTTTGATTATGTTGCCTTACTATTTTCGTTAATTATTGATTTTACAGTTCTTTTTATTAATATTATCCAACTGGATCGCGGAAACATGAAATATTATCTTTTTCGCACTTCAACTTTCACCTGGATCTACGATAGCAATTACAAGTTCGAGTATCGTAATCCATTCATTACTATAAGTACATCATTGACCAATATATGCTCGTTTATCAACTATTTGCAAGAAAATAAAACGTAGACGTATTTGGCCAAAATACAATAGCTGCATCTTTTATACTTTGCCCGCAGCTTTCAAAGAGCTGCTCGCAAAAAATTTAGAGAAGCACACGGTTGCAGCGCGCGATCAATCTAATCAGATAGCCAAACAAGCAGAAAGACTGCGGGGCTACGGATGGCGATGTACATACACACAACTACATCGCCATTGACGAACGGCGGTTTGGCATTTCGATTATCCGTCCGGCTGCGCGTATTATTTAGAATTCCGGCGCCCCCCCCCCCCCCCCCCGAAAATACATGTCCCACACTACACAGACGTGCGCGCGCGTTGGGCATTGTATTTGTTCGCGCTCATCATTGATAAGGACTTTCGGGCTCTGCATACGCGAGTTGTAAATACGTCCGCGGCAGAAGTGTATCTTTCCCGAGGATCGTTACGGGATGTTGCGGTCACGTATATGGGCACGCCGAACAATGTGGTGATTTTGACGCGGATACGCGGAGCTGCGCGCCACCGGTACATACGCGCGTCGTTTGTTCGAGGAAATGCTGCCGGAATGCTTTCTGCTTTTTTTCTTTATCCGTCGCGCTTTCGTTGTCATCGCTCGCGCGACGCAGAAAACATCGCGACCGGCCGTTCGCCAAAGAGCGCCTACTGTTTCATTGTCAAACAAAGGATTTCCCCGGATCGTCTGCCAGTGAATGAAAACGTCGATTTCAATGAATAATTATACGGATATTATTTTAAAAGTTACGCTGGGAGAGTGAGAGAGTGAATGAAGTAGCGCGTGCCGATTAAACGAGCAAAACTTCAATTTAAATCCAGGCCCGCGGGCGCGGGGAGGCCGATCGCGAGACCGCAATTTCCGTATCGAAATTAACCAGCCTCGCCTCTCGCTTTCACGCCCGCGCAACGAATCGTTCGCAAATGGCATTCATATACGCGCCGCGCCGTGACCCGCGCGCGACCGTTAATTCGACTCGGATCCCGGCTATTTGGTGCGCGAAGCGCGACGAAAAAGGAAACGTCCGCTGATTAAGAGGGAAATTTCGTCGCGACCTCGCAATTAAAATCATCCGGTTGGCTACTCCCAAGTTGAGCGCCGCCTGTCCGACGTACGCAAATTGGCCCACGGGGGTCGCATGCGATTTCGTCGCGCGCACGAAACTCAAGCGAGTTCGGCAGGTGTCGTTACTCAGCGTCGCGCTGCTCGGTTTTCTTTGGCGCAGCTGCAGCCAGCGGTTTCGCCCCTATATATGTGTCCCCGTGCGCCTTCGCGGCCCGCCAATTTACGATTCGCCGCGCGACGCAACTCCGCGAATGAAATTATCCGCGGCCGTTTTATTATCGTTTTCGACGTCGACGCGCGCTGTCGTCGGGGAAATAGAGCCAACGAGAAAACTTTTGGCGGCTCGGTCGAATGGGCTAATTGCTGTGATGTGCCGTGAGACAAACATTGCCGTCGACGCATCGCGTTTACCGATTACCGCGTTTCACGTTAGCGTTACAAGTTTAATTACGAGATGAGGCTCCGTACACCTCCCCCCTCCCTTGCCGCAGCCATTAATAAAATTCATTTCGAATACATTGCAATTCAATGCGCGCATCTGCACACAATAACTCGCCTACTAAAGCACGCAGGCTAGTTTGCAGCGCGGTGGATTTTAATGACGCACAAGCTGCGCCTTTAGGATGTAAAATCACATTTGAGTACTATAGCTGCGGTTCGAAGGTGCACACGCGTATATATTAATTCGCCACGGGAACTGCCCTCCGATATTGCGCCCATCGCTAAATCCACAACAACGCGTCGAATCACGATGATTCGATCGAGCTTTCTCGGCAGAAGGCACGAGGTGATTTGACAGTCGAGAGAAGTTCGAGGAGAGCACGAAGCCAGGCGTGGAGTCGAGCGCGACGCGCGTTATTTTTATTTTCGTCGCGCGCCCAAGTGGAACGGATAGAGGAACACGAAAGTCGCATTTACAGCTAGCTTCTATTTACACTGGTTGCTCGATTTCTTTTTTGCCACCCCGCTCCCACCCCACGTTCCGCAGCCTACGGCTGTTCTCCGGTACACACGACCCAAATGTCGCGCGCTACTACGACGCCTCCGGGTCATCGATTCGCCGTCCCGGCCCTCCTCGAGAGCGAAACGGGCGCCTCGAGAAAATCGCCCGAGCGCGCGGCCACGATGTCGAATGCGCCTTCGCGCTGATTTACGAATGCCGCGGCGGAGCGGAGGGATGAGCTACTTGCGGAACTGGAATGTCAATGTAGTGGCGTGCGCCGATGTCGTGGCTCGAGCTGCACCGAGTCACGCGCATTTATCCAGGGACCGCTAACTCGAATTGGCAGTACAAGGCGTCGCCTGGCAGCGATAATCGTCAGACTGTTGCGAGTAAATCTGCGTTGATGGCAAGCTACTTGGGAAGCCGTGACGCAACTCGCAACCAATTACCGTCGAAAGTCTCGCGAGTGGCGGTGGGTAAGGGATAAGGCCGGGGGGGGGGGGGGGGGGCGAAGAACAGAAGTTTACGACGCGGTCGCGATTCGAATCAACTGTTTTCTAATCAACATAAATCGCAAGACAAATAAACGTGAGCACGAGATCGTCGGCGAGCTTAGGACTGCGAGTGCAACGACTCATTACATCGGCGATCAGCGATTTTCGGATTATAAATACGAGCCCTCACGGGCCACCGAGGCACACGCCTGCGTACGTGAGGTTTCGGTGATTATTCGGTTTACGCGAGCGCGCTTGCCGATTGATTCCGATGATGCCAATGATGAGAATGGAGGGGGAGGGAGATTCAGTGCTAGCGCCGTCGCCTTTGGCTCGATTTTGTGATTTCTATTATTGATCGCGCATCTCTGCGCGTGTGACCGGCATTACAGTTTGAAGCTTGGCCAAATTGCTGATTAGGCTTATTAGTCTGTATGGGATATTTGGATTTGTTGATATTCGTCATTCATTGCTTATTGTTGACAAGATTAGAGATACGTCTTCATAGTGACTCAGTGCTTTAGAAATGCAACGTTATTTGTGTAAATATAATCATATAAAATTTCAGTGTTATGAAAAATTAAGATTATCATCTATTGCTATTTATTCAATGATTACCTTTCAGTAACAAACAAATCAATGTTGAGTTATGGGTATGTAGTATGGGAGTTTCTTATGACGCTGAAATTTTCATTTGGAAGATGTTTCATTTGATTTTTTTAATTAGACCACCAGTATAATTTACTTGATAAATTTTCTCATCCGATGAGTACTTCATTGCGCTGAGTTTCAAATTTTTTCTTGTACGCGAGTTCATATATAAAAATGCGAATCAAAAAATACTCATGTAAACATTCAAGTCATTAATTTGTTTGTGCATAGCCTTGCGATCATACGGCAAATTTATCCCAGTGTTTCCACGTTTGTCACGTTTCCGGCCAATAGAACTGATCATTCGCACGTTCAAGAATCTGTCGTAAAAAATAAAAAGGGAAAAGAAAAGAAGGCCAAGCGCGTTAATTTCGTCTATAACGCTTGCAAGGTGTGTCGAGATTACTAAGACAGGGAGGCGCAAGTAGGCAAAATACGATAATTCGCCTGTGTAAACAGTCAGAGATAGCCCGGCGCTTTTCCGCGAGCGCAAGCGTGACGATGACGCATCGCCTGCCCGCCAGCGCGCGGCGGCGGCGGCAGCGGCGTTTAATCGATGCCATACACACGCTACGTTTCGCAGATAAGCTTCACCCGAGCTTAATTGCGCTTTTCCTCGCGCTAGCGATTGCTTTCCTTATCGATTGCGTTTCCACGCTCTTTGGGATCGACCCGCCGTGCGCTTTCACTCGCGTTGCTTGCATCGACGGCGGTATTGTGCTCGGCATCGCGCACCGGGGAC